ACAACCGTACAGCGCACAGGCGACTGTTCACCGGGATCCAATCCAGTAAGGCGCTTTTAGCCTTGAGGCTGAGTGCAAATCCCACACCGTAGATACTTCCAGCCGTTGTGTCAGGATGACCAGGTGCCCGAAGAGTAAAATGTGGAACATCTGAGGCTGTTGTCCAGTGTGACATACAGTACAAACATTAAAGGCTTCAACGTGGATCATATCTATTAAGGTTAGTAAGTGGTTATTTTGGTTTATTTTTCTGGGCAAAAGTTTGGACATGCAGAGGTGGCTAGGGGACTGGCAGATGGGTTGACTGCACTGCATTGTACGAGGGTTAAGCCGTGATTCGTTCGAGTCTCCTACGTTAAGATCAAATGAGCCTTACTACTGATTGTTTTCCTTACATGCAATAAGATTAGAAAGGTATTCAGTTTGACCTACTATAAAATACCAAACTGACTTTTCATCGACGAATAATCAAATAGCCAATCTCTCCTTGTGATACTTGGATAAGCTGTTTGGCTGTCAGAGTGAGAGTAGGAGAAGTGACACGTGTCCGGATTTCACCGTGCTTACTGACTATAGTCGTGTGTAAGCATATTCACCCACACAAAATTTATCAGATACCTATACAGTCTGTGTGCCAGATAATCTCAACCAGTACCATTAAGAGATGAGACTGCCGCTTGTAGCAATCCGTAGAAGGCGTTTTGCGCAGTCCACTCACTGAGTCGCCCCATTTCCTTGTTTACCCTCTGAAGATCGTTCATCATTTCACGCCCTAACCCTCCCTGCGCCCCGCACGTTTTCGGGTAGTGAACGACGTATGCATCTGGGAAACTGAAATCAAAACTCAACCCAGATCTCACCAGGATTATTGCTTGATTTTTGGTAAATGTTGCGACTGTCAACTTTTCCAAATCCATATTTTTCTTCGAAGTCCTCTTAGTAAGCTACCAGCGCGTTTAAAAAGGTGGCTTTTTCTATTCTGGCAACCATTTCCCTGGATTATCCCTACTTATGAAGCTCAGGTTCACTCTACGTTTGGATACTGTTTTCATACCTGGAATGAGGTACCCTACACTCACCTCTTGTTTTCCGACTGTTCCATAAGCAATCGTTTACCTCCTTCATAACCTATCTCCCACCAGAGATCTCCGACTTCTTTCACGTCTTCATGACGCGGTATAGTATCACTCATTTTAGAGCTGGTGTTAGTCGTGCCCTTTCCAACAACTTTCATGGTCATCATCGACAGGATAATGTTCGACACGGATATTTCTTCACTGTCATCCAACTTGCCGCTGTTCTTAGTCACTTCAGTCACGTTACACTACCTAAGTGTTGAACGTGAATTCACTCACGTTGCCCCAGAAATCTGAACTTCATTCACCAACACTTAAGCTATAGCTAATATAAGAGTGTTGTAGCTACACGAATGCCTCGTTGCCAGTCATCTCAAGCTTGCTGACGCACCTGTGATAACGGCGGAGGATACTACGCGATCGCAATGGTCACTCAATAAGAACTCCTCGACTCACTCGTCTTCTCCAGCCATCTTTTTCCATGATAGCCTCTCGAATTCTTGGGCGTAAAGTGGGGCTACAAATTGTGGTTAACCTATTCCGTTGAAACCTTCTGGATTCTGACTGCCGAAATACACTTTATCATGACAGCGATTTATCGGGCGTAGATGGAAGATTTGAATAAGTGGGGTCTAACTCTAATTACTGCTTACGTTTCCGATGAGAACAAACGGTCCGATGATTTTCACGCCATCTCTTTCCTCTCACTGCGCCCCCTGAAGTACCGTATTGGCGAATCATCTGGTCAAGACTTGAGTATGAAGTCTCTTTCACCTATCAGATGACGATGTCAGGAGGAAGCCGATATGTAATAGGTCCAGTCCTTGCATTGTACACGCTTTCGTTTCTTTGGAACCTAACATGAAGTTTCCTCACATATCTCCCACATCATGCTACGTGCTTTTGGAATGTTCGGCAAAAGACCGTGAGTTGTTCCCGCAACCAGCTTTCAGTTCGCTGGAATGGAGAAGACAAACAACTTTGAAGAAGTTATACTGCAAACAAATGAATCGTTCCGCTATATGGAATTCAACTGAACCAGAATATAAAAAATCTAACAGTCCATTAGGATGTCAGTGGGAGGCTGAAATGTAGAAATACGGTTTCAGCATACAAGGAAAATCGTTAGCAAAACGGGTTCGCTCGTTTGGAGGCAGTCCTCCTAACACCAGCATGCAAACAGCTAGAGCGCAGTTGCTGGTCTTTAGTAGAGCACGCCAAACGAGCTCAAATGAACCACCGGGAACGGCCTGTCTGTTAACCAGCGATTCGTAGAGAACGCAACCGGCTGACCGCGTTCTGAATATCCCATTAGTGAATTATGTATGATTGACGTTCGCAAGAGCCCAGTAGCTTATCAGCAACACTCAACAGGGCTGTTTAATATGTGCGATGTACTAACGCCCTCACATCCATGGAGATTGTTTTCCGATGCTGTAGAGACAGCTAGCAGTTTGCTGTCGTGTCCTGAGTACACTTGAGATTCACCGATAGCTATCGATCGTTTGGTTGGCAAGCTTGGACTATTTTCGTCACTCATGCGCGTCCATGCGCACTAGCCGCCAAAATTGTGCTCCTCTCGTTCCCGCCATGTCATCCTCTGAGTCATGTTCATAAGAGGATCATATAAACTGAACATTTCTGATCGCTTGACTCATTTTTACCAGTGTGTTTTCGTAGTCCAGGACAGGGAGATTGATTTCAAAGTTTGCACCTATCTGTCATAAATCCACAATCACTAGGAGCGACGTCAATAAATCCCTATGCAGTGATGTGCTCGCCAAACACACTGCTCATATTAGTATATTCGTGCAAAAATACAACGTGGAAACTGGATGAGCGGAAAAATAAATGAAATACCCAGGCTTTGTAGGCGTTGTGGAGTCACAGTGGGCCATACAATAACTCACCAGTGTCTTTTTGTCAGTTGTGATTATAACGAATCAGGATGGAACCAGACAAAGAAGAAAGTTCTTATCTGCCTGGTATAGTTCGTTGAGTTTTTCTCCAAGAATATGGTTACACGGCTGGTACAGTCAACGCAACAAGAGTTCCCTCGATGATTCGTTCGAATATGAATTTGAACAAAAGACGAACAGTGGCCCTGATGAACTCATTTTTGTGTGAATCCAGGTGCATACTCTCCATTGCCTCTCGTGCGCCGACGGATGTTGGATGGACGGATGTTAGAAAGACGTGGTGGGATTGATTCAAAGGGGAAAAATGGCTTTTAAGTTCATGAAGGTAACTATTGTTCGACTTCTGTCTGTATTGTGGTATTCGGGTTGTCGTAAGATGGTTGTGTCCTCAATTCATCACAATCTCGGACGGAACCTTGCTTCATTTCAACGACTCGATTGCTGATAAGCCAACGTAAGCTGTTGATGTGTAGGAAGTCTGAAGTGATTGTGACTAGGTTGGGACACTGGTATCTTTCAAATGCGCCACCCGCGTACAATTTGGTGTTCCATTGAAACGTTTCGTTCATGGAATCTCGGGGGCATGATTACCTGATGAGTCTCAAAAAAAGAAAAACCCGGCATTGGATTACAGCGACCTTATAAGAAACGTGTTTTCTGTAGAGGAAAATGTTGGTAGCTCGGGTATCGTGGATGGTGGTCGTTGGCTTGTTCGCTGCAATCAAATTGCCCAGCTCAGCGAACATGCAATCAAATTGCCCAGCTCAGCGAACAAGCCAACGACCACCAGCAACGTGTTTTGCCGGATATGGCATCTTTTTAAAGACGAGAACGATAGTATGTAGCCTCTGCCTCTGTGGCATTTCTTTTGTTTTCCAAAAGCCTCATTGGCAAACTGTATGCTAATCATTCTCCTCCGTTGTCCATTTCAAAGTATTTACTTCCTTAGTGGCTTCATATTCTTTTGAAATCGGACGGTTCATGTCCCATCGAGAATTTGGTGGTGCTAAACGTTTGCATGGAATGGCCCACTAACTGAAGCGCATAACCGAGTCCTGAATGAATTTCAGGGTTTTCATTCCTTGCACTTACTTCGCTGACTGGCAGTTTTCTTCTCTTGGTATTACGGAAGGTTTGGGTCAATTTTTTAACAGTTTCCAATCACCTTCCTTGACCGTCACGTCTGATTACTCTTGAGCGAAAGAGCTAAGCGTCATTTCGGAAGACTTAGGGAATTGCTACAGTTCAAACGGAATGAGTCCTATTGTTTCTCATGCGAAGCTTTCTGCCGTTGTGTACAACTGTGTGTTTATATTAACTTCCATATTTTTATTTTTGTTAAAAAGCGCATACGTAGGCAATAGCGCATGACTGTCAGCTTTCAGCAACCTCCATCTGCTTCAATTCTTCATAGTTCATTTTGGATCAGATTGTGCCACCTCATGTGGATGAAGCTTATGGGCTAACTAGGACTGTTGGGAAGCTTGCAACCTACTGTGACAAGAAGACCGCCTGACGTAGTATGAGCAATTGGTAGACTGGTCTATATTTACGTGGACTTTCCTCTGTTTCGATTTGCGATGCGCAATTTCTCTCCTATTCTGGTCCGCTTCTGAACTATTCTTCTGCTTCCTTCTAGTTACCCCTGCTCTCTGGAACGTTACACTACATCGTGTGGCTGTCTGTCAGCTTCGACCGACATTCATTCGTTTAGCGGCAATCTTAGATTATGTTACGATGCGTCTATGTGCTGGGGCATCCGGATCAGCGTGCATTTGACGCCCTGGTTTGCGTGTTGAGACTCATGGCTGTCTTACTTCCCCTCAGGCGGTTTGGTTATTGATATCCGGTGATATCCATTTTATAATCTTGTGCAAATTTCCTCAGGATTGTAAGTTTGATTCGCCAATAGCTGCTGCCTCACCACGGTCTACCCGAAAACTGCTGTGGCCTTCCAAAGCCCTTGCTAGCCAATTTTTATCGCTTACTTTTGATGCATTTCAGCTTCGGAGTCAGCAAGAGTGGCGTTACCTACGTCGATGAGGGGTTGCGTGTGCCAACTATGTGGCAATAAAGTCGCTTCCGAGGACCCATTCTGTTTCCACGAGGCTTTGACAAAGTGGCTGGATAACAATCCATCATTTACATGGAGCTACTTCAACCAGAAAGCTGTTGCTTCCGCTTCGGACTCGTGGTCGCCTCTAGACAATACTGTCACCGATAGCGTCCTGAGGCAAAATGATGGGACTTCCTCCCCTTCTGCCATTTCCGTCTCCAGTGCCCCAAGTATATCACCCTCAATGTGCAAAATTAGCAGCCACGACTTTGATTTTCATGATTTCAGACGCATTTTATCCTCCAGCGAAGATGGCCAACCAACTTTTATGCCTCCAGACTTTTGTGTTCGACCATCCTTACACTATACATTACGTGCCTCTGCCGGGAATATGAATGATCTATCCTCTATTCCACAGCCAGGGAAGCGACCATCTTTGACCATGTCAGACGAACGTGAACTCATCAATGAACTCATTATGGATGTCTGTAGGGAATTGAACCTCAGCTGCTTGTGTTTCAAAATATTACAAAACGTGTGTATATTGGTTAAAGCCGACCGGGGATCGCTTTTCCTCGTTGATCGAGACCGTCTTACCGGAGAGAAAGTTCTAGTCAGCAAACTTTTTGATGTAACACCTGACTGTTCTTTCAAAGAAGTTCTCCATCGTTCCGAAAAGCGGCGTGTCACTATTCCAATGGGTATTGGCATCTCGGGCCATGTGGCTCAGACGGGTCACTACGCCAACATCCCAGATGCTTATGCGGTGAGTTGTGTGGATCACATGCCTCAAGAATAAATACAGCTTGCGCTCTCTGTTATCACTTTAGTGGTGGTTCTGTCGTAATCTTTTTATTGACTGCATGTTTAACATCACAAAGAAATGCGGTATGCACTCTGAAAGGGCGATTCTCTTCCTCGGGACGGACAGGATTCCGACTGAGTTTTATTTAAGGTCTAAAAATGTCCCCAGATCGGAAATCACCGTTACATATTTTGCCCAAAATCTCACAGTAAACCCTGATGACCTTCTGCCCTTATGTCAACGCTCTGCATTCGTGATGGCTACCGGCTTTGTTCCACATCGGTCCTCGGAATATAGCATAGTGCTCGGAGGTCGTTACTACTGAGTTAGTGACGATAATCAATAACTTTTGTAGTCTTCCATTCTTGACACTTGTGCTAGCTTCAGCGCTTGATAATATTACTTCCGCACAACTATTCTGCTTACTGTCGTTAAACTTTATTTCCCCGCAAGCTGGGATCCATCAAGCGCGGGAAAACTCACTGTGTTTAGGTGAAATGTCCTTGGTCTATAATATGCGAGAATAGATACAAATTTCTAAGTTTCTCATGTTAACTGTTCATGCAATATGGTCTTCAACTGCTAATAATATACTTTCTTTTCTAAGGACTCGCGCTTTAGCGACTCGGTCGACCGAGAGACTGGTTATAGAACCAAGTGTATCCTCTGTATGCCAATCAAAGACATTGACGGGGAAGTTCTCGCAGTGGCGTTGCTCATGAACAAAAAAACACCTGAAAAAGGGCCTGAATCGTCGCTTCAGAGGACCTCAGCCGTTTCAGTAGGAGAAGGAGATCAAAAGCAAACTACTTCCAGTGCATCGGCTACTTTCGAAGTATCAGACACATCAGATTGTTTCACCGAACGGGACGTCCGAGTTTTCAAGTCTTACGTCGCGTTTTGTGGAATCGGTCTACATAACGCTCAAATCTATCGACGAAGTCGAATGGAAGCACACAGGAATCAGGTATGTCACCATTTTTCCGGGGTTGTCTGTACACGTTTCTTACCCTTTTTGTTCCGATTTTCATGCAACCCAAAAGTACGTGTTTGGCATTCGAAACGTATTCACTAAGCCAAATTCACCGATATCGTAATCCAGGTAGGGCATATGAATTGCCCATTCAGCCGATCAAGACTGGAGTTGATACGCATCGTACAGATAGTGACGAATGAACTTTCCGGAGATTCGCGGAACATCGACATTTTCCAATATAAGCTCTCATCACAAGCGCCCATGCCTTGTAACCGGGAGTTCATTAACCACAAACAAGCAATGGATCCAAGAAGGGCGAAAGCTGTCGTGGGCTGTCGAAGAGTTTTCAGCAACCTTATGAGTAGTTTCCTTTATGAAGCAATGAACCCATTTGGATCACTTGCTCATCCTTTATTTGTGGAGTACAGGGTTGCCTTTATGGATTGCGTAATCTGATTCAGATCAAGCCGTTGTGACGGCATGCGTATCAGCTTGCTCTCAGTATTGACTACGTACCAATGCCCATCCACTTAATCCATCATTTCCTAAAGGTTATTATAGCTCAGCATTATGGTCTCAGCCTTACCTGAAGGTGTTTGGATGGGTGTAGATCCAACGGTTATGAAGGTCAATTGGAAACTCAATCGGCAAAATTGGAGGTTTTCGTGCTGTCAACTTTTAATTCATGTTGTGACACTCGACCCAAAGGACATGATACCGTCGCGATTAGAGGCAGTGGTTGATGTCAGGAGAACTGTCAAGCGTCTAACAAATAGGTTGACGCAGGTAGGTCCTCCAAACACTTCAGAGCGAAGTGTCTGATGAACGAAAATCACTAGTGGATAGTGCAAGGTCAGATGAAGAAAGATTTTGCAACGGAAAACACTAACTCAATCAGAACCGATAGGATCGGCCATCCAGAGAGAGGTGGCTGTTTGCGATATGCGGTAAGGATAGATCCGCAGAAATGTCGTTTTGACCGGTGGACTGAACGTTGCAATGAACATTCCGGCTGGTCTCCATCAGTACAGACATTACATGGCACCCGGGCTGTACGTTTCGAAAACAGTGGCTGAAAAAATACTGCTAATATTGCCGAACTGACTGAATATCAGCTGAATGGAGTGCATAGATATGCCCAGTATCTGTCTAGGATTCGAGAGCAACATGGAAAACGGTCGTTGCTTCAACTTGGTAGCCGTGGTGCAGGTTGATGGACTACCGTGAGAGGGATTCTCAAGAATCAGACTGGCTTTCCTCCTTGCCGGTGGTTCATCTTCACCTCGAGGTAATTGCTAGGATAACGTCATTTTTCCACCAAAGACAGTCGTTTTATTTGGCTTGAGGGCCGCCTTCGACTGTGTCATTTCCCTCAGAAAATGCGATAATGCCTGGCTAAGTAAGTTGATCCATATGAATCGTATGTGAAGCGCACCCGAATTAATCAATTCAGATGTTATCAGATAAGGCTTCCCTACAGTATCTTCAATGCCGTTCCTGATACGCTACTTGATGCTTCCGTCTTCGCTACTTTTTTATTTCGGGACTGAATGCTCACAGGCACTGGATGTGCAGAAGATATTGCGCCTGTCGAATCAGGTCGTTTGAAAATGCAGCTTGTCTTGGAAAACTGAGTAATTTCGCCAGATGGCTTGGCGTGCACTTCACACTTGCAAAGCATACAGTGGACTCTTACTGACAGATGCGTCCCAGTCACACAGTCAATGGTTCTCCTACATCAAAGCGATTGATTTTGGTATTTGGCTGTCCAGCTTGTCATTCCTTCAAACAGCTGGAATGGTCAAGCATCCGTTGACGGATTAGACCATCGTCTCCTGTTTCCTGTTTTTCCATTTTTTCGGTTGACAGTCGGAACCAACAAACTGTTTATACACGTTTCATATCTAAGTAACTGAACTAAACCAATGTGTTCTGTTAACATCAGATGTCATGTTTTAAACAATGGCCACCGATTTGTCGTGGAGAATCTGACAGACCATCTAGTAGGTTATCACTATCATTTTCTCGGGTTAGTTTTCTGCATCTTCGGGTTTTCGTTGATGGACAATGGAACTTTCCGTAATCGGTTGCCTTTTGACTTTAGTTGAGAGCTGTCTTTAGGCTGTGTACAAAACGAATGCATTGTTTTCAATCAGAACTTAGTTCCGTCTCTCTTACTTGCCTTAATACGTGAGATTGACATTGCTTCCGTATGAAACTCGTCTGGTCTGAGTGACCTGACGTTTCATTGCTTCGAAAGTTCGTGAATAAGGATAAAATTGTTGTTTGCTTAAATCACAATACGAAATGTTAGTTGGAAATTCCCAAGTCTCCCCACACAACCAACAGCTTCACTAGCGTTTAAAGTACTCCTATGGAAAAAACACATCCTCACTTTCACTGCTGCCCCATTTACCGGTTCTTACACAATCACATCGGTCGGTCGAAATAAACCTGCATTTTGTTTGGACCTGTCCTAAACATCGGTGGAAATTTTTCACTGTTTCTCCGTAGAATTGTCCCATCGGTACCACTGTTCTTTTTAACCGCTTTGGATTCAAAAGGTGAACCGGGAAGTTGCCCTGTCGAACGCACTTCACTTCAGCACAATGGTCGATTGTCTATTTTGTTGTTTTGTGAGGTTTAGTACCTATTGTTTTGGACCGTTTTCTCAAGGTTTTTGAAGGTTCCCCAACTCTGCTCTTTTCCGTTCACTTGTAGAAGCTATTGTATGCACGCTTGCGTTACAGTCAAACATCAGTCCATATTGCTCACGTATTGCTGTCTATGATAATGACGAATGTCTTTTCTTGAAAACAGGTGCTTCTTGAACTCGCCCGCATTGTGTTCCGAGGGCACTCGGATATCAGCCATCTGATTTACACAGTGCTGTCGCACACTGTCTCACTTCTCCAGTGCCAACGTGCCCAACTCCTGTTGGTTGGAGAAAATGAGTCGCCAGAGGAAACGGTATGCCCACAGTGTATTTGTCTTTATTCTGTAATGCCCACCTTTACTGCGTGTAGTTCAGTATGTATGAACGTGCATATCTCGCGCTGATACCTAGAACTTTGCAGCCGAGTTCCCATTGTCGCTACGTTAGATTTGTTTGTTTGTTTGTTTGTTTCCGGCTGTGAGTGGTGGGAGAACACTAGAGGATTCTCCAACCCAATTGTGATTCAGAGAAAGTCCGATCATGCACAACTTTTGTCTAGCAACATGCTAGACAAAATATTCCGTCCTTCCAGTCATTGTAGCAAAACCACTTGGGAGTTTTTAAGTTATTTATTCTGAATGCTCCATTCGAGTAGCTTTCTATTACTATCATAGTAGTTGGAAGTCCGATGGTAAAGCAGATTTGCCATATTTAGAGTCTGAAGGCATGATGTCGATATGAGGTTTCAGGCCATGATATATATCTATGTATATCCTCGATTACTTGCTGTTTGGTCACATGGACCGATGAACCTTCTGAAGTACAAGTTCCTTAAAAGTAAAACCTTTTCTGTTGCTCGAAGGGCGATTCTTTTGAAAGATGTAGGTGTGTTATTAGCAGGTTTATTTGGAGAGCCACTTCCCAGTCAGTTCTAAATGTTGACCTCCATTCTAGACAGAGCGTAATCGGATTATTGCTTGCCGACTACTGAACAGCCTACTGGGATTCCGTTGTACCCACGACTTTCACCAGCAAACTGCTCATCTCCTTTTCGGTATCGACCTACTTGGGACAGCTTTATAGATTCTGATAACTTTTAGTGCTGTTCAGTTGGCAACTGTTGTTCTTCCAATTTCAGCGTCTCCTTTCCGACAATTTCAAGCTCACGGCTTTGCTTACATGTGTCCTTTATTAATTCTGAGACTTCGCGCCCTGTCTCTCTTTTTTTAAGGTGGCCACCAATTCGAAGAGTTTCTCACATGCCTTCAATTTGGCATGGAATGATGATCTGGATTCATTTCATTTTACTCCGGCTATGCACAGGTACGGTCCACACACATATCCTAAATGATGAGGAATATCCCCCATCTTGAAGAAAAAAGAGATCTGCTAAACTTTTCCATATGTATTTTCTCTCGTGGTATACCATTTTTGGTTTACTGCCTAAGCCTCTCCTGTAGAAATCCTGGAATTCGGCGTACTCAATTACTTCCAGTGGACGAGCAGCGTGTTGAGTCATGTAACTCGAGGTTTCCCCACGACTCCTCTTAAAGAACTTTTTGAGTAACACGTGTCCTGCGTTGTGTTTGTTATCAACGCTCAGCAGCCGCAACGGTGTTGTTTCGGTCGTTGTATAATGTGTTCGATTGATGGATGATTGCCTACGTGAATTTTTTCATCGTCTCGCGTGTTCTGTAACCCACCTTGTGTGGTTGACTTCGACACCATTTCAGAATGACTAAGCCGTCAGTGATTGCGTTAATTAGTGCGCCAACCAAGCCGAGCTACAATGCTAAAATAGCTCAAGGTCGGTGGATATCATCACTGGTGGACTTGAGGTGGTTTTGCGTAAAGAAACACACTCTCGCCATCTCAACTTTTTCCTTTGTCATACCCCAAAAGCCAATCGCATTGTCCGCATATCTCACAAATACCGTGATGCAAATAGCTTGCAGCCATTTTCACGGAAATCAGTGACCCACCTTAGTTCTGTAGTTCCACTTTTATTCCATGTAGCGGAATCTTTATTCACTTTCGAGTTTCGAATAAGTGAAATGTTATTTTTTTATGTGATGTATCTCGACAGTTTGTCTTAAGCACAGTAGTTTCAATCTCTATCGTTCATAGGGATTTATTATTCTGATGTTTTGGTAGGAATCGTTGCTTTGTGCTGGGAGTTTTATGCAATGAGAATGAAAATCCCGTTTGACATTGCGTACTCGAGCGCAAACTTTCTCCAACTGAATCCCCAGGACCCTGCAAGACATTCGCGTTAATCCATTAATTCCTGCTTGACAGGTAACGGATAATATTTTTGTGCTTCAGTTGGTACGATATTCGAGATATTGTAATACATTGTTCGGACGTGGTACACTACTCATAGAGTTGCTGAAAACTTTTCGACAGCGCGAGTCCGGTCGTGCCTTTCTTGGAACTCATCGAGTAGGCGTTCCACTTGAACCGAAATCTTATGAAATCCGTGAACTGCATTCAGTTGCTTACCAGTTTAAACTGTTTAAACTTAAGCCCTGTATCAATAAGGGAGAGTTTCTCGTTGGCACTGATTCAATTTGCAGTTGAGTGTATTTTTGATGTCAACGTAGAACATATGGCTGATGGAAGCTTACCGACCGGATTTGTCTGGACTCGCCTGGGATGTATGGAAACTGTTTTGGGCCGTTGATAGGTTTTCATCAGCCCTATGAACAGCATTTCATGTCAAAGATTGTATCTTCGTTACCAACTATTGCGTCAGCGACGAGACTGAATTCAGGGAAGATTCGTGATCTGAAGTGCGCACAAGATAGCCGCCTGGTGTAAAATCGCTCAATGTTAGGTTCAGTAAAATGCTGTTTGTTAAAATACACCCTGTGCTCCTGCTTCTTGTTTAGTCGCACGCAAGCTCCTGGTTCCTCACATCTGTTTGGTCTTACGCCAGTCGTCAAATGTAAATATTCATTCGAGGTAAGGTCAAGCAGTTGAACAAAGTGGAAATTCAACCAACTCTGTTATTTATTGTTCCCGTTAGATCCAGTGTCGAAAGTCGAATATCCTAGACTATACGTTACCTTGTGAAACTCTGCACCACGGTGTTATGCATACTGAATGGTGTAGTCCCGTACTCTTCTGCACCATGGACAGCATAACAGTAGTATTCAAACTGTTGTTTTCCCCCCCATACAACCTTATAGTCTTATCGTGAAGAAAGAAACGAAGGTGGATGGAGAAGCGATTTGTTGCCACCTTACCACAATCATTCCGAGGTGCACACACCCTCAGACACTCAATCAAACATTCTGGATATTAACTGAGAACCAGTTGATCCTTGTTAAAGGACTTGAATTTTACTCATTCGTATTACAGAGCATCTATTGAGTGCCGTATCCGTTTTATCGTCACTAATTCTGCGTATCGGATTGGGTAATTTGCGCGCATTCTGCCTTCCTTCGAAGTGATCGCCGTTTCTTGGGCCCCTTATCCGGAATCCTACCCTGATTCTCCATTACCTGTTATCAACTTCTTCAGAGCAACTGGGTTAACTGATAACATAGAAATCTGCCACTAATTACATTCGGTGTTGGGTAGAAACGAAGAGGTCGACTGTTATGCGAATCGTGAACGAGAACTTGGCTTATTCATCGGACTTGTGTTTTTTTGGAATACTGTTTGATCGTAACAAGTTGAACAAGCTATGAAGTTGCTTTGGATAACTGATATGAAATTTTGAAAACGTTTCTATTGACTTAATACTATGTGGACCCAAACATTAACAGTACTGGAAGACAAACGAAATGGACCATCTGCTTGTAATCTGCTGTTTAATGGCCTATCTCCAATGTCCACGGTGGTTTGTCGCGAAATGTCGAAACTTTAGTTCAGACTGCAAGCCATATTATTACGTTTTCAATGTTCTTGATATCCTTGGTCTGACGATCTAATAGTCTGTTGTGTCCGAATACTTTGACCCACCCATCTTACGTACTGATTCAAAGCGGTTTATTACCTCAGTCTCTAGATTCAGGTAATAGCAGCTTAGCTGTTCACAGAATACTATGCATCGGGTGTTTTTGCATGTATACCGGTACGTAGTTCTTGGACAGCTTTATTATTAGGTAGGTTTTCTTAACTGTTCTTCGTTTTGAAAGGCTGTGAGCCAATAAGTTTCGCGGTACACTTGACCACTCTGTCGTTTTTTTTCGTTCATAGGAATTTATAACTTATAAAACCGTCATCTTCGAGACACCATTTCACCACAGTTTATTTTTGCCAGCTGCGTTGCTGAAATTGAATCTAGCCGTACAGCTGTAAAACCCTTTCCGTGCTTAGCTGCCATGCCAGTCGAGGAAAGCACGAGGGCTGGGATACTTCCAGGTTACCCAAGCCTAGACAGGAGTTGTCGAGACACCTGAGTTGGATTCGAACTACGAACCCTTCGATCAGTAACTTTCTACCTTAACGACTGAGCTATCTCGTGCTCGAGCTGCTCTGATGACAAACAACACAACAAGCATGTTGAGAATACTGCTATTGGCATTCGGTCTTGTAGATGTTGGAAAACAACTTGGTGCACTTATCCCTTCGATACAACCGAACTCTGGCTCAGCTTTCCAAGATGTGCTTAATACACAACGACAATATCACAGTAGGATGGTAACTGTAGGGTGCATATTGTTGCACTGGGACTTTGATACGCGCGTTAATTTCACGTACTCTGTGCTTTAGTTCTATTTTTTGTGACACGAGTGCAATTGAAATTGAACTGAATGAGTTTGACCAAAATATCCTGTAAACTGTCGCCAAGAGTCTAAATAATGCAACTAATATAAGTGCAGACTAAAGGAACGTCCTAGTGGAGTGTGTTTTTAGAAATGTTCAAATGTCGTTACTGTGAAATTTTGTTGCAAATAAATTTGCTAGTCGTTGAGAGCAACCAAGTCACGTTATAAATTGACCTGTCCTGCACCTTCACGTTTAGTGCGCATTCCGGATAAGCAACCAGTGCTTGTTACGCGATATTAAACTTTTCGCTTCTCGATCGTGTGCCTATTGTCCTGCATATGCTTCATGGGCGTATCTCTAAATGGCACATCATGGATACCAAAGCGCGATAGTGTGCTAATGAGTCTGTTCTTGCATATCTCCTAACTTGCAAGAGAAAAGCAGTGCGCGTGTAGTTCATTGAATTCTCTCACTAGCAAATGGGGCTTACTTTCTCACGTGTTGTGGGTGTGTTGCTCAATTCGTGAACTGTTAAGTTATTAAACAATTGTCCCAGAATTGGGCTGGCACGTTGATGCGGCTTTTCGAGGCAATGTGCGTGTATGTGTATGGTGGTTTGGGACGATGTGGATGGTGGTAGGTCACTTGTTGCTCTAATTAACGTCTTTGTCATTTCTTATGGTGCTCCACTTTTTTGACACAGATCCCTCCTTAATAAAAGTTATCAAAGCGTGCACTAGTAGTCCAGCAGTCGCTCCGTATTACATACTCCATCAGTTTTCTCGCCGACCAATCTCCATTCTGCATTTCTAGCATCTGGCTTGTATGCAATACGGTTCAGTTTATTGGATTTTATCCATTTCTCAGTTTTCTCTTGGTTTCCGTTGGTTGGTTGGCCGACAATTTTGTGATCTGTTGACCAGAGTCCGGGTAACTGCACGAACAACAACTGCTACGTACAAGTAACAAATTTGATGTAGCAACGCTTTTGGTTATGTGAACAACAGTATCCTCAATCTCGATAAACCCCGTCTTGAGTTTGGCATCCCGAATAGCCATGGCGACCTACTGAACCGGACTTGGGACTTCGGTTTCATCGCACTCTTCTGACAAACGATGAGTCTTCAGTCTATTTTTTGCCAAATCCGGTTGCACTAAACCTTTCCGCCGTGGAAAACTAAAATGTATGCTGTTTTCTATTACAAAGGCATATAAAAATGAAAAGGAGCTTTACAAGATTCTTCGGAGGGGATAAAAGTGAATCATCCACTTAAGGGGCAGAATTCTGTTTTCTCCATTGATCTTGGTGGTTCCCCCCTCGCCCCGAGGTAGCAGTTCCATCCTGGTGAAAATGGGGTCCGACATGGAATGTTTTCTACCGGATTTTACTCGTGAACTGTAGCCCTTAGAGCGCGGATGTAAGATAGTCGTCCACACTCCACCGGCCTATTCCATTTTCCGCATAATCTGTGCGGGCGCGGCCGTCTAACTTGCCTTCTTGTGGCACAGTTGTGCCCACCAAACTGTAGAGAATGTGCGTGGGGTTCTGAGCGCCATGAACGGATCGACTGCACATTAGTTTATCATCCGGTGAATCAGGCTGAACCGTGATCCTAATGCTGCAGCGAGAACAATAGAAAACTACTCTGTTGAGCTGTGCGCAAGATTACCTTCGGGACCTACGCACTTGACATCAGACTGTTCAGTAATTCACCTCATGTTCCTGGCAGCCCAGCTAATCACACTTGGGTCTAGCTGAGTGCTAGGGACAACATTAATGTCGGTCACTACTATGAGAAGTTCTTAACTTCATAGTCTAACAAGAGTACTATGTACCATCCATCGAGAACATGTCGAGCAAGTTTCTGATTTCGTTTACCATAACCATCCATTCGACAGCCACATGCAACATAGGCTTGTGTATCCTGGCGATATTTCAGTTGTTTTTCTTTTGTGGACTAGCAGCTATCGATGCACTGAAAGGCTGCCAAAGACGAGCAGTTCGACTCCATGTTTTCATACCTATACTACTGTGTACGACGACATAAGTCCACACATTGTTGAATTTTAAACATGGAAATAACGGGAGCCGTAACGGTGTAACTGCTAACATGTTTACTAACCGAATGAGCAGTTTTTTGAAATAACTTTTTAGGTGTTACCTTGAGGGCTAGGTTTTTTAATCCTTCGGTCATCCGTCAGCTGTGGTTTCATGTCTTTTTGGTGGATGGGCAACCCTGGAGTTTGCTCTTGTGGCTTCTTTCACTTTCAAGATTAAATTCCTTTTTGTTTCAGTCTGGAAAATTCACGTTTCCCTTTACAACTTGAAATCGCTATGAAGGTTGTTCGGACTGGTGAGGTGAGTTGGCTTTGTCATTGATTCTGGTTCGGCGCATCAATGTGGAGTTCAGTAGATGATAAGTTAAGCTAGAACTTCTCACCATTAAAGAGGGTTTTGATAATGGAACATCTGCAAAATCTAGGTGTAGCAGTCCTTCATTGCTTTCCGTCAGCTACACATTTGGCTGAGCGGCTGAAGAGATTCTCAGTATTCAGTCGTCATGATGATTGGGCCACCTTCCTACTTGTCACAGTATAACTGTGATTTGGAGGGAACGACTGTAAGTCTGAAACCTACTCCTCTGCTAGAAGTGGGTCAACCATGAAATATGCGAACTGGTCCAAGTGTCCTCTAGCTGCGAGATTCGGGTAGACTTATAGTTTCACGCTATCCTTTAACTGTAAGTAATTCAGAATGAGCCCATCTTGTGAATCCCATAGATCCAACTGATTAGCATTCGAGTAATTGGCGGGCGTCTTCTGTGTGGCTTCCCTTAAGTATGCAGGTTTTCGCCTATTGCGGTCCATTATCAGTGTGAAGGAATGCGTTCAGCGACCTAATAATGCCTGTGTATAGTGGCGGTACACCAAGATAAACCGCTACATGAAATCAGTCACAGGGATATTCATGTGGTATAACCTGTGCTATCCGGTTGGAAGCTATAATTATGTGCGTGAAGATGGATAGAAAGTTCATGCTTGGATTTGGACAGTTTTTCGTCCGTGAATTCTTCACTAAGATAATGTCCCTGATATACCCAAGGCCCGTCCAACATACGATTTATACGATCGTTCCAACCCAAGTTACTACGCGCATTCTCACCGCGACACTTAATTAGTTTTTCCAGAGCACTGGTAGCCACTGGTATCATGGAGTGTGAAAGTCGTGTCGATCAATCTTCTGAACAGCAGCTCCGCTGTTGAGCTGTATCGCCGAGCATTGAATAACTAGGTCGACTATCTGCTACGACGAATGTTGTCTTCTATTTCTTCCACTCTCAAGTCGTCTTTCACGACTACGTGTTCAGCGAAACCTGCGTAGTTGGAAAGTCCACACTTGGGAAGTACTCTTACGGGCACATCGAGATAGCTCAGTGGATGAGGTACGAAGTCACTGACGGGAAGGTCCGTGTTTCAAACCCGCCCATGGCATTTCGACTGCTCCTGTCTACGTATGGGTACCCTCGTGCCTCTGTCGGGTTGCATGGCATCTAAAGAATTATCTATTGGTACGTATTACCCTTAGAGGCCATCCACCGATCTAGCCATCGATATAATACAAACGTCGGAACTTCGAATACGGTTTAATACGTCGAACGACGTCAACACCTCAAAGGAGCTGCTTTGGGGTCACCAAAATGTTTCAAAGTTGTGAAGAACGTCCATAGTGAAATCTTTAGGTGAAAATGGGAGGGAAGTCAAAATGCGCTTTTCCAAAAAATTGAGGGATGCTTTGAATGATATCTACTATCCATAAAAGTAGCGGTAAAGGTGTGAATGTTGCACCGTTATCTTTCATGCCATCAACGCAACGCTTCATGTTATCGCCTTTGTCATTATTTCCAGCCAATCAACTTACCGAATGCGCTCTCGGATCCGCTTTTCGATGCCGCGGTAAGAAACTGGTGCACATCATTTACCTTATTGCCATTACAGAACCAATAGACTAACAATCTTTATCTCAGAGCTGGGTCACATAATGCTCCAACCAACACATGCAATTTCAATGTGAGAGTTGGAGTCACATCTAGAAAACAACATCGCCTCCCAAGGTTTCTTCTGTTTGACTGGCAACCGAATTTCCGCCCATGGAACATCATCTAGTGCATTTGGTGGTACCAGCCTTGTACAGAATGAAAGCGAGTTTGAAAGGCCGAATTAGACTCTAGAAGAGGACGAACCAGTAGATTTACCGCGGATCGGTGGATGAAAATCGATGAACTCATTGTCTACCGTTGTCATTCATTCTCCAACAAAAACTCGTGAGGGACTCTCCGACCTGTTTGAGGACGGTTGCTCTTCGCAGATCTCTATCTCAGTAAGCAAACATCACTTCACAAGTTGTTACGTGTAACTGCGTGAACACGCGTAAACAAAGGCTGTTTGTCCGGTTACGCCGGTAACAATAGGGAGCGATTCATCTGGAACATGGATGTTCATGTCAGTGTACGCCCGCCTGTGTGGTTGTGTGTAGCTTTTCCGTCCGGCCTGTCCAATATATTTTCCTGTTAACTAAGTTGTTATCCATACGATTTCTTTGAAACACTCACAATTAAGTGGCTTGTGCATGGCCAAGTTTGCGTGGAATATCTGGATATACACATCATTTTGGGCGGGCACTGTCGGCAAATTAAATTTGCTTACTGGAATACCAACGAAATGGTTGATCCAATTCTTTGTACCTGCTCAACATATTGTGTTTGCGCATGGTTTGTTACGTCACTGTTACGCAAAAGAGCTGTCTTGCTGACCACATATTCTTCCAAGCATCCAGCTTTTTTATTAGCGTGTGGACAATACTCCTTGGTTTTGCTCTGTTGTGTTGACCAAGCTGCTTCTCCATCTTGGAATTGTTTTCACCTGGTTCTTTTTGGGGGGACCAGACATCTAGTGTGGTTCTCATTCTGCAACCGAGGACGAGATGGTTCAAGTGGTTAGAGTGCGAATTTACTGACCGGAAGGTCCGTGGTTCGAACCCGGCCCCCGCCAGTCGACTTCCCCTGTCTAGGCTTGGGCAACTTGGCAGTATCCCAGCCCTCGTGCTTCCTTCAGGTGGCGTGGCAGCTAGGCACCGGAAGGGTGCTGCAGCTGAATGATGATATGCAACCGAGGAAGAATTCCGGTGAGGGTGTCTGTCGCGGCCTTGTTTTGTCGTGTAGCGTTTTTCCTATGCCTACACTGCTCTTGAGGTAAGGAAATACAATGACAGGATTTGAACTTGCAACTAGTATACTCACCGAGTAATTAGGCTCAATATGGCCACACAAACCACATCGTTGGCAACGACAGAAGGTCATAGGGGAAAAATCATGGCTTTATGGGTCGATATGTTGTCTACGAAAGGGATCATTAACATTAACAAATTGAAAGGAGCAAAAGTGAACATTGGTGTTGTGAATTCGCATGTCCCATGCTAGTCTTTTGGCAACATTTGCACTTCCTGTTGTTTGTCACAAGGTACGGCAACCTCAGACAGCCATTGCAGCTTTATATTTGCAGAGTACCCACAAAATCCCTCAGAAAATTCTGCTAGTAATGTTGTGTGATGTTGGGAAACTGCGAACCAAAAAATTCTACTTTAATTGGCCTAAGTTGTGGTCAGTCAGACCATGCCCTCTCCCGATAGGCAGCCGGTTCATCGTTTATCAGTCGAATCGAAGTGATGTTCGGTTTTACGAACAGCTCCCCTCCAAATACCTCCCCAACTGGAACACTAGTCCGACTGCTGCTGGGATATGCCTCATGATGACTCAGAGGCCTGCTTTCACCCTCCGATCGATCCCGTGGTCTTAATAATCTGGGAACCATCATGGATCACAAGCGAGCGACCATCTTGAGTAAAGCAGAAAGCTTCGACCGGTTGACCGAATATTTCGAACAACATTTGTCATGACCACTAACTGCCACTCACCTGGAACCCACAGCCGACGTAAAACTATGGACGATGTGCTTGAAACCCCCTACAACCTCGTAGGTTTATGATTGCGTATGTTCTCTCCAACACCACTGAAATTCTGGTCCGGATTACCTCCCACCCTTATTGGGAGTGACGTCTTATCTGTTGTCTTATATTCGGGAGAAGAAGACTGTCCCAGACAACTGGGGAGAGTCGGTGATAGTGCACATTTTCTAAAAAGGGGCTCGTGGTGATTGGTAATCATAGGGGGATCAGCTTGTCCCCGGTCGTAACAAGACTGTTGGCATCACTTGTTCTTCGACGCTTTACGATAGCACGTGAAACTTACTCGACAGCAGCAAGCGGAATTCCGACCTGGTAGGGGTTGCGTTGTCCAAATCTTCACACTCCGTCAGGTTCTAGAATAATGTCATAAATACAAATGACCTAAAACCTTCGTATTCCCGAATTTCCAAGACGCATTCGACTCTCCTTGCCCGTCTGTTCTCCTTGACACACTCGCCCATCAAGGAACTCCCCGGAAGTTTGTGAACACAATAAGTTCCCGTATTCTGAGATTTCTGGACATTGACTCGCTAATTCGGAACACCTATTGCGTAGAAGCGGTATATTCCTAACCTCAAGGAACGTATGTATCAGACTGCAGTACGGGCTGTTTTGTAGTAGGGCTGTAGTAGTCCTGATTGAGCAGCGGAATTGAGACGTCTTCAGGTGTTCGACCGGTGGTCTCAGAACCGTCGCTCGTGTGGGCTGTTGTCGGTGAATTCGCAAACAGGGAATTAGAAAGCGAGTTTTCGGTTGTGCGGCGGTGACTTCTATCGAAGAATGTGTCCAGCACCAGAAGCTGTTTTGGTTAGGCAATGTATTGCTTATGCCGAACTATCGATTGCCGAGGAGTACTCACCTACATACACGTCAGTGTGATAAGGTGTCACCGAAGAGCAATATAAAGCTACATTAGAGTAGGACAGTAACGCGATAATTTAATGGAGGCTTCCACAGATAATACAAATTGGAGACCTTTGTTTCGTGGTTTAGAAGAATACTAATACACATGAAGACCTGAGATTTTTCTTTGGATGTATTGCTGAGAGCAAAATCTCCGTAAAAGGCCGTCTAACGGGGTTGAGACATGTAGGATTTGGTGTGGTTTGAATCTATTTGTTGTTATCAGGCGAACAAATGTGTCTGTGAGTCGTAGTCAGTTGCACGGAATCCGTGACGTCGGTAAAATAACCGTGTTGCAGTAAAATGATTTCCGGCGCATGGAAGTCTTTGTTCCATGTTTTCATCATTAGTGTTTAACACTGGTCAGACTGGATTATGATATTTACGTCATCGTCGCAAAATTTAATCAAAATACCTTTCTGTTCTGCATTCGGATTGGCACTGGTGTTTGAAAATTCTGTGGTTAATAAAGCCCTTCCTGATTACGATTCAGCAAGTATGGTGTGAAGTCGAACATGGAGCCGATGTTTCACGGGTGTGTGCAGCCAAACATCGCCTTGTTGTTCGCTACGGTGGTATGAGCTGAGGAAACTCATCCGACCAATTTGACCAAAGATCAAAGGATTTGTGTGATATTTTTGCACCGTCCCTGTCTAACGACCCCATTTCTGTTACGGCCATATATTGGTGCACGTCAAATTAGTGCTAGACCATCCGCCCCTCTGTAATTAGATCATCCATCCAAAGTAGACAGGCGAGGTTCCGCTGGTTTCCGAAAAAGTCTGACCAGAACTTTCATCTCCGATTTGACCTGTCCAGTGGGCGTATATGAGATCAGCCATACGACCAGGTTTGTAGCGATAGGCTGCAGCCAAAAAGATATTTGGTTTCGGTAGTCACTACTATGTAGATGTGTGTGATGGCAAGTGGAATTAACTCCAGTCGTCATCTGTAGGACAAATATGGTTTTTTATGGGTGATGTGCATACCTGAGGATTTATTTTGGGACAAGCCGAGTAGACCAGGTGACGAACGCGTTTAGGTGAGCAAGTAAACCAAATGCCGGGCTGGACGCTCGTTGCAGAGAGGACCACGGGAGGAGGAGCATTGCGAGAACGGGTGAGATTGGAAAGTTAACAGAACCCAAGCCACAGATGCTTCGGATGCCTTCAAACAGCTTGTGTTTTGTGCATGTTGTTCGTAGCGAAAAGTTTCTCGAAGTGCAAAGTGGATCAAGGCGTGTACACTCGTTCCACCTTTCGGCTACTTCACAGTTGTTGGTCTCCAATAAGAATATTGCAACGAAGTCAAATCAACGACAGATTAACTCAGTTGGATGTCCGTTTCAAACACAGGTCAGCTGAGGACAGCTTCATCCGGTTCGCACAACCGTGTGTGCTTGTTTACATGTGAGGTGTTGTATGGTTTCGTTTGCTGATTCTATTGTACGGTCTTTGTCGTGATGTTTCAGTTGATCCAGACTTAATGATGAGCCATCTAAACAGGGGAAAAGTTGATTCTCTCGTCTCGATTTACTTAGCATCATTGCTCTTTACACAGCAACAACCTAGACGCAACGTGTAGGCACTCCACGCGATTGCCTCGGGTATAGTTGCAGTAGGTTTTGTATACCAAACAGCGTGACTCAACCAGGGCACGTGGGATGAGTCACTCTCGAGCCCCCCTCTGAACCGGCTTTGTCAGCTGGTTTGAATCGTGTTTTTTGACGATTTTGAACTGACGGCTTGTTGGGCCTTTGTAAACGGCATCACAATCATTGGACATCTGTGTGTAATTCATTATGTTTTCTTTGAGCACTCTAACTTCATGTACGATAAGGTACCTGGCTGTGGCGTTGTTTGTCTTGAAATGCATTTTAACACCATACAGACCAAGCTCTTTGATTGCTTCGCGTCCAACTGCCAGCGCTGTGCGATCATGTTCACCGCATCATCACTGCTTGTTATTCTTCCGCACTAGAGCGAACTCACCGTTGATCCGATTTGGAGAGCTCAGTCGCTACTCTGTATGCCCATCAAACACTCGGATGGCCGTGTGTTGGCCGTCTGTTTTGTTGTGAATAAGTGCGCTAAAGATTGGCGCTTCCCAGACCAACCAGAATCGTACGATCCGGCTATCTCCTACGGCACTCGCCATGGGTTCCGTCCATCGCCATCAGATTGGTCGAGTGCATTCTCCCACGCAGACGAGTGCCTATTTGAAGCGTTCGCACTTTTTGCTGGCTTGGGTTTGGCCAACCGTCAAATGTACGACCGTGTTATGCGTTTGGTGGCGAAACAGCGGATCCTGTTGGATGTTTTATCCTATCACGCGACAGCACCGAAATCCGAGGCAGCCTGTCTAGCTAATTCACTGATTCCTTCTACCAGATTCTACAATCTGGATAGATTTTCCTTCACAGATATCAGGTGAGCTTTCAGATTTTTGGATTCGCACAGCTCGGCAACTTGTTGCGCTGACTAGGTTTGTTGAAATTTATTAAGGTGTACGCTCATTTGTGATTGTTAGGTTTCCGGTTTCTGTTGCAGTTCAGAACCGACATTACGGTTCTGACACATAATCCTAACGGAACATGCTTACTAAACAGGAACAAAGCAGTTTGTCAAGGAAAGACCTTTCCACGCGTACTTGCATCCTGTTGTCGCAGTGTAGCATATGATTCAAGATTATGTGCGCGCTTTTAGTTTCTGTTGTATCCGGTCGGAAACCTATGGGACACACTTTAGATAAAGGAGCCAAATTTTGAAGAGTAACCTTCCAGGTTGTCCATCTTCGTACCAGTGAGTAAAGTCAACTCTGGACATGCCGTTCACTAGTGATACCGGTCGAAGTGGCTGGCCCGGAAAGTGGATAATATGGGACGTGTTTTAGTCTGGTGCCCTCACTCAGTCTCCCCGGGGGCACTTCAGGAATTTATCGGAGCCTATCAGAAGTGGTATCTACAATGAGGTGGCATATGTAGGTGGATTTTCCTGTATATCATCTTGGGGTGATGTGTCGCCCTTCCCGGGCTCCCATGACGTGTACTTAACGACGTATTAATCTACGTCGCAAAAGGATTTTTCTACTCATTTCATATAGTCCACACACCCTATTTTTTCGACCGAACTTAACTCAGACGAACTGGAGGTCTACACGGCCCCTCCAAATTAAAGCGTGAGGCGCAGTTGCTGAGTAGCTTTCTTAGTTTGCTACAGTCCGATGGACATTCAACAACACTTATCCCAACTGCCCGGAATTTTGTCGACAACGGACAGTTTGAGCACTTTTTGCTGTAAACGCCCCCCTCTTGGAAACGGGACTTTGTTGTCCTCAACATTTCGCTGTAATGTATTATCCCGATCAGCTAGACTTGTACGGTAACTTGGTTGCGTAATCGAAACTACTGCACCGGTTTCAGCTCATCCGTTGTTTGACATATCGATCAAATACTTTTGGTTCTTACCGAGGATTCGCTGTCTTGATCATCCTCACATTGTTCTTGAAACCAGGTCAAAGTAATTCATGTAGTGCACCTATTCCGCATGTTTGCTTGGGTATCTTCGTTTATCCATTCTCTTGGCTCTGTGTTGCCTATCTATTTTTTTCGTCCTACAGAATGTCCGATGAGGCAACACTGAAGGCATGTGTTCGCATGTTCCTGGACCTGAATTTCGTGAACGTATTCAAGCTTGATATGCTTCGTCTGTGTCGGTGGATTTTATCGGTCAAGAAGAACTATCGAGAAGTTACATATCACAACTGGCGTCACGCGTTCAGCGTTGCGCAAACCATGTTCGCAGTGCTGTTAGTAAGTAAATGTGTGCTGTGTGGAAATATGAAAAGCAAACGATTACTGACTTCGATTGGTAGAGTTTTCAAGACATCAGTTTAATGAGCTAGTTTTTTGGCGTGCCAATTGCTCAAAGTGATAGTTATAATTAGGTCGAACCTAAGTATAAGGAACACTTTAGGTGGGTGAGTTTGCTATGAGTCACTTTCTGCAGTGGGGTTTTGTGACCGCCGGTCATTTTTCAACCATAGCGTCACCGCCTTGAAGACATGCCTTCAGAAAATTCTAAAATGTTTCCTCAACGATCTCGTTTCTTCTTATGAGGTCAGCTGGCTTAAGCCGTTTCACATACTTTGGGTTAATATAACTTTAGCTGTCTGTTGATACTTTCGGAATTCAATACTCCATGTTCGTTTTAGTTAACGAATGTTTTTGAGCACGTATATTGAGAGTATATCCTTCTGTGAGAAGGACCTACTCGGGCGCGGAGTTATTTTGCTGGGAAACACGGGGAAACTGTACAAGAACGGGAAAACGCTAGGGAATGGAATCGTGACGCACCGCTAAGTACTGCTGATCTCACTTAGACTTGTGCTGGAACGTGTGCAAGAAAACAGTTTGGCTTAGAGGACAAGCTTACATACACTTACTCAGTTACCTGGAAATCGATCAAATGAATTGGAATCTTTGAGGTCGTGGGAATTTAATCCAATTTATCTACTGACTTCTTTTCTGATAATATAACTTTCCTGAATTGGTCCTGAATTGGTCCTCCTCATGGAGGACCCAAGCCTCTTTAGCGGGTGTCGGTGATACCTTTGTGTTAACCGAAAGCTCGAGTCAACAGTCCTAGTTCAGACGTTGAAAATCCTGTTTTCCGATATATAATGTTCCTTACTGGAAACCGTTTAACCTGTGAGGGGCTCACCTTCGGTCTCAGGCGTAGACGTTCACGCTCACGGCTTATCTAATTGGTGAATGAAGGCAAAGTGTAAAGTATACGATTATTAGCCCGTAATTCGACCAAATAATGAGTAAGAAAATGTGCTTCGTTCCTGGTTTACCTCTTGTCGCAACCGCTTTGTGGATCCACAGTATGTAACTGGTAACTGGTCCATCTTTTTATTGCAATCCGGTGATACCCTTATAGTGTACGAGTACATTGTGACAGTACTGAACTCAGCGAAGTCAGCTCCTTATATTTATCAATGTTTTATGACAGCGCTCTTCAACTGGTGCCTTTATAGCGAAATTCAGACCGTCGTAATCGGGTTGCCCGGTTGTCACCAAGTTTCTTCGAAAACGATGACTACTGCAGTTGTTAGCTGTCCACGCCCTGTTCCTGTGAAGTAACAACTTCCGAAACAACCGAAACCGCATAGCCACCTGGTGCTTCCCTCATGCTAGCCAACATCCATCGGGGCTTTATCAACCACTGACTGTCGCTCGTTCTGGAAAAAGGATGTGGATTCGGATCAGGCGCTTGTTCGTTGCTCAATCACGTTGCACTTCCAAGCGGCGCCCAAGATGTACATTCCTACCGGGCCATTAGGAAGTTGTACGACCCCAATGTGAAGCGGACTTCCCAAAAGCACCCATTTCAGTCTTCTCTGGACAGTTCATATGGGATCCTTACTCGGAATTACTATCCGTAACCGTGGAGGATAATTAGCGCTTGTGGACAGCGCAATTTTTGGGTCTCCAGTAAAGCTATACACTTGCTTGAAGTTCAAACACGTATTCTCAATGGTAATACTACCCGGATAATGGTCAGTCGTCAAGTGAAAAAGAACATCTGTGCGGATCACTAAGCTTAATAGGTTTGGAAAACTGAATAAATGGAGGAAACGATAAACTCTGGGAATGTGTGCATTACCTATCAAAATATACGTCATCACCCGGTTTCTGGACTCAAATCGGTGTCTTGAACATTGAGATCGATAACTCCTGTGGCTTCGAAATTACGCGAATGTCTTTTCTCCATTAATCGTCGCTGAGCTTCTGGTTCTGATGAACTACCCATTTTGTATAAGGATGGAGATGAAGTTCTCAGTCGGCGCTAGCTAAATTGCTCTTATCAGGGTAGTTAGTAGTGGTGTCCATCTTCAATAGACGTCCTTATAATGTGTGTGATAATCACAGAGGTGTTACCATGACCAGTGTTATCTGCATCGCGTATTTTACTTCCTCATGGAAAGCGTGTAAAGACAACCTAAAACACCCAGCGGGATTCCCGCCGGATATTCTGTGCGGACTACATCCTCATGCCTCGTCAACTGTTAGAGCAACAACACGCGTATATGCTCACTTCAATTTTGGTTTTTCTTGAACTGAAGGGTGTGTTAGATTCTGTGGACCTCTTCTTTTTTTCAGCACGCTTGTGCAACAGATTCTGATGCAGAATATCGCATACTTCTGTATTCGCATACGTGTGCTGGCGTTGGAGTGTACGAGGAGCTTCCCGAAAGCTTTCCTACAAGCAGTAGCTCCCGGAAAGAAATTTACCGTCTTAATTCATGTTCTTCCTCATCGATGAGTTAATGAAGCCAACCCTAGAGGATCTGAGATCTCACGGTTTTCGGATTTTATGCTAGTGGAGACGATCCGAAATATGCAAGCGATATTTTTGAAGCGCCAACCTTACTAGGAAAGCTGACCAAGTCCGTCCAGTCTTATGGCTTGTAATTGCGAATATGCGTCTAACAGTTCAGGGCGTGACACTGTATATGTCTCGAAAGTCGTATGATGGTAGTGTGACAGACGAATATGAAAGACCAGAGTTGTGTTTGTCGATTTGTGTCGAGAAAGTATACCACCGGGTCTTAAAGGACGCATTTGTCCAACTACGATACGAATCGTATTGTTGTACGGCTGCGAGGCTTGGTCACGTGGGATGGAGGATTCAAGATATCATCAGGCCCCGGACCACTAATGTCAGAATAAAATTTGAACCGGCTGAAACAGGCGACGCAGACGGGTCTTCGATGAAACAGGTATTTCACTGAAGGAGTACATCCTACACTGCGATTTAAGCTGACCAGAAAATGTTCTACCTATGGCCGGTTACCGTTTGCCGAGAACGGCATTGTTTTTCGTCGTACTTTAAAACAGCGTAAATACGGGTTTCTGCCCTCGAAGGACTTCGGGGAAGATCATAGTTAACTCGTCCTTTGAGGCACATTTCTGTACCAAGCGCCCTACAGTGTGGACCACCACGTAAGAGAAGTCGATCGTTCTGGTGGTCTCTCCAAGATCGAATAGCTGCAATGTATTGAGATTTCACGCTTACAGCATTATACTCCGGCTTTGTCGTTTCAGACCTGTCTTGTCTGGTTTCTTTTTACGTTAGTTTTACTAAACTGGGGACACAAATCTAAGCATTGGAGCCTGTGTGCCAATTCTTCAGATGCCTCTTAAACAAATTAAGATGCACCAGTCAGAAAAGACCACTATCGTTGACACTTTTGAAACAAAGTCAGCACTCATGAATGTCGCCCGCGCGGTAAATTTACGTGACTGATCCCATCTACTACCTAACCACTGTCCTTGTCGGGGTTTCACTTCGTAGAGGACATAGAATTTTGTACCTGGTCACAGTTCCTCTGTAACTGAAGCCCTGGCTAACTGTCAGTCGACACGGCGGCCTCATACCTTATATATATGAAAGCATCTACACGGACTTATTGAATCAACTCTTCTCAGTGGCTTTTGTGATTGGTCCAGCGCGTAGGAAAATTTCCTGATTGTATATCGAATTGGCCTAACGAGGCAGTTAGGTTTCTACAGCAGAACGACGGGAAAATTCACTGTCCCAATACGACTAAATTTTGTTGTTTATCACCACATTACGTTGTAGAAATACACAGACGGTTTCACGCGGGTGAACGCAGTTGTCCTATTTATGACCAGACGACAGGCTATTGATAGATCGTTGCCGATACATTGTCGTAAATTTACCACCAGACCAGCGTATTGTTCACAGACGAAATTTTACCATAAAACAAAAATCACGACATTCCTTACATATATTGGCAGTTTGATCGACGCGCGACACAATATACCTGTCAGTTATCCTTCTTTTTGTCACTCGGGTACGTCCAGCAAAACGAGGTTGGAGGCACACCGAGCACAGTAGCTCAGCGTGAAATCGAGACACGTGTACTGACATGGCAGCGAATAGTAGACAGGATGGCTGATGTGTGGCCTGAGCCACTGACAGTGAATGATACCTCTATCTTCCACTCATTTACAGTGTCAGTTTACCTGACACTTCTCGTCATTCCTTGGGCTTTCGGATTTAGTGTGAATACAGAGCATACGTCATTCCACAACTAAACTACGAGTGACCTATCCTCATTAGACCACAAGCTACTGTTTTTACTCTACGTTTTTTTACACGTATGTTTTCACGCTCTGGCAATAAACTGACTGATCACAACAGTTAGCTTAAGACTAGGGTGTAGCCGCTAAGGCATCTTTACACCACAGCAATATACGAGAGCTCTGGTGCATAATTGGATCCGACTTTTCTGGATTCGTCTTATCGATCAGCTGGTGCTGCGAAGACCTAGATATAGGCCGTAGGCAGATATGCACGTCGCATTCGAACCATTCGGTGTCGTTGTGATGGTATTGTTCATTTGACAACAACTCTGCAGCTCAACAGGTTCTCTTTGGAAACTCCCAGCCTTAGATGTGTCCACTCGTGATTTTCAGTTCATCTTCATTTTTAACTACCCGGAGTTCGGATATTCCGAAAATGTCAAAAAATCCACCGTCCAACTTTGGATACATGCTGTTTTCAAGCTGAGCATAGAACTTTGGTGGGGTCGTACTGACCGTGGTTAGTAGCATTCAGCACTGCCGTCTTTGTACAAGTTGCTGCATCTGCAGACAAGCCCAAAGAAAGGCTAAAGAGCTCTGTGTGTATCGTACAGACATCGGTGGAGTACTCTCGACTATTCCTTTAATTGACTGGTTGTGGGATTTGTTGAATACACGGTCGCATTACTCGTTTGAACAGTCATCCTGATGTCCTGGCGCAATGATTTTGGTGGGTTCATACCAAAGGAGAGAAGCACTGGACTCGAATTTCGCTCTTATTAGAGTTCATAAGAAGTGCATATCCTTGGGCGTGGAAGAGTTTGAACTCCGCACATCTGACATGCAAGGCAAGCGTGTTATCCGCCAGAGCACGCTGGACGCTTCTGAATTTTCAAGTCTGAACAGTTGAACATGTTCGCGCTTGAGTGACGTGAGTGGTAAACCCGACAACCCGAACGACGATCCAGTAACACACCTTGGTTGTTTCGATCGATTGGTCCGCCAGTTAGGACTCCCCAGTCATGTAGCTCCACAGACTCTTGAAACCTCTTGGACACTTCATTTACACCAAGCAAGTAAAATTTCTGTTTTATCAACTTATATGAACTAGTAGTCGGATATTTCGCCTTTGCTGTAGTACGTTGCACTAACAGACATGAGCCTGTATGACTGTCATTGCCTCCTGTCACCCTAGTCAACGAGTATTGTCTCGTACCCTCTAACAGAATGCGAATTAAGTTTACGGGATGACTAGTCGGATACTAACCCAACCGAGGTTTCAGAAGTCAAGGGTGATGTTCGACCTCCTGATAATCCTGCTGTTTTTAAACGGTGATTGTGTCGCTTGACACTGGTACATGTCAGAAGCTCAACCGGCTGCGGGAGAACTACCGTTCGTATAAAGGGAACATTTGGACACGCTGAGTGTTCGAAACAACCGCGAGGGGGGGGGGTAAACTGATCTGCTATTGCTTCAGTGAGTGACGCAGCAAAAACAAGAAATGCAACACAACGTGACTGATGTGAAATTGTTAGGCTATTTCTTTTGTTGCGAAATACTGGTTAGAAACACCCCTAACAACTTTTTCCCTGCTGAATTTACCGAAACATGTGATGCAGCGAGCTCATGTGAGGACTATGTTGTTTATTTATTTACGAGCTGCGGCAACTGTGTACCCTCAGTTCCGTTCCTTGATGGTATTTTCGGAGCTGCGCCATGGCTGCAATGAAGACAAATGAATCATGAAATGAAAAATCACATTAACGTGCTTCTGTTCGCTCGCCCGAAACAAGTAATTAACCCTTTTAATCTAATTACTGTAATGCTGTAAAGCTTTGAACAGTCTCCAAGCTTTGCTCTCCGTCGACTATCGCCAGCATCAACATGGACGAGATATAGAAAGCGTCCAGCTGTAGAAACCTTTCGATGCCACCCGAACAAAGCGTCAGGGCTAGGAGACTGCCCAAGACTAGACAGGGGAAACCGTGACGCATGTGTCGGGTTCGAACCACGGACTTTTCGGTTTGTAGATTTTCACTGAAACCACTGAGATATCTCACAGTGAAGGAAAAGTTCCATCCGATATGCGGTATGTGTCACCCCAGTAGAACTATTAGGAGGTTGTTATGTGCCAAGTCCAATCATTTTCGCGCCGAACTCTTCTCAATTTTGTTTTCCTGGCAATTGATGATGAAACCCAATAGACATTTCATGAAAAGTGCGTGTCCAAACAGAAAGTGATTTTTATTCCGAAAGGGTGGATAAGTACTGTAGCTCAGTGGTTGGAGTGCATGTTTACTAACCGGAAGGTCCGTGGTTCGAACCTGACCTCTGTCTTTCGACTTCCCCTGTTTGGACCTAGGCAACCTGGCAGTATCCCAGTCCTTGTGCTTTCTTCTAGTGGCATGTTAGTTGAGCACCGAACGATTCAAACTGCATGTTGATTGCAGGTGGATAACTTCAATAATAATAATCTCACGAACAAAATTCTTCAGTATTATCGGACTGTCTGCAAGAATGACGACTAATAGGCTGCATTAGCTTATTTAGAATTGCGTGATGATCAACTACTACTACAACAACTACTACAAAATACATCTGTCGGCATGCAGCACACATCACCTGTATTAGGATCGTTAGCTTGGCTATGTGCGGCTTGACCAAATATGTAGGTAGCATCCCCAGCGCTTTCGCATACAGCTTTATTTTCCATGATAGCGTGTGACAATAGTCAAAACAAGATTGGCAGGCAATTTATTATTGTTCCGTTATTTGCTTCAGTGGACCTGTTATCGAAGTGGTGATCGATGATTAGGGTGCAGCTCACCTGTTCGCATTACAATAGCTACTCTATGTTTATGTAAAGCGGCAAAATAAGATACCGGGCTTTACCCATACAGAAGAGGATTAGGGTGGATCAAGCGAATAAATATGCACACATACGGGGAGCATAGAAAGAGACGGAAGAAAACGTGTGTTTGAATGATGGAGTGCATTGGGCTTTTACACGGTGTTTCACATTGTTACTCTATGGTATTTTCTATTCAAGTTAGTTGTGTTCACAGAAAGCCTTGCGCGATTCATTGCCTGCCATAACACGCAGTGACCGCTCCCGGGAGTCATTATGATTTTGCTCAAAAGTCAAACGGTTATTGAATGTAACAATGTATGTGCATGAAAACTGCAAGACAATTTCGTGTGCGTTCGATGCGACGTTGCTTGATTCCAGATATTATTTCCGAAGTTTTTAATCACTTGGATCATTTCAAACTCTGATACTTAGAGTGGCCCCTGCCTTGCTTATACGGTCCTGTCTTAACGGAGGAAGTTTAAGTTGTGATGAATGGTTTCCTAGCCTTTAAAATTACTCCCGGTAACATCTAATTTGAGCACACCAAACAATACGGAGCACTGGGTTCAAGTTCTGCTGTTTTTATAGCTCATGAATGGTACATATTCGTGGTCGTGTCAGACTTTGAACCCGGAACATCGTAATTGGGAACTGATCCTTGCATCTTAGAACAGAATGCTAGATGCAGCTGGGTTATCACATCAAGATTAATATGTATGACTGAAGTGCGATGTAGCTTTTTTCAGTTGTAGTGCACGCCATGCCCGGAGGTTCGACTAAGTCGTGAAAAAGTACAGCTTTCGAGGAGCAGATACATCGACATTTATTCCTGCCCACCGGAATTTGGCATTTCTCGTACTTTTGATTGGATTGTTAGCAATATGGAATTCAGCAGTAGTCCCCTCCTGAAAGTTGAGAGCGATGATTCGTGTGCCTGTTGAATCCAATTATCTGTTTGACTATCTGCATTTCGGATTTTTGGTCTGCGTCGAGATAGAACAGAAAATATTCGAGGAAAATGGTAGTTCGCCAAAGATTTCATGCTTTATGCACCATGACCGCGAACAACTTGTTGCCTTAGCCGCTTGCTAAACAAACTGGCGGTGGATTTTAACACTCATTTGCTAACCAGATGCTATTAACGTGAAATTCATGTTGGACTTGAGTCAGTATAACGCTTATCCATTCGATTTTGCTGTCTGAAGGCCGTCTTATGCGTCAGAGTGGCCGGGATTCAGGGTATTCAGATATTTTTCTGTGATGCTACACCAATCAGATTGAAGTGTTTTACAGGTTGGGAATAAATACTAGCCGCATTGTAGGTGTCACCTCAATTAGTGGCGAAACACTCGAAAAATGCTATCAATCCCAGCTAACATAACATGTAATTTCTCCACATCTTTCCGCACAGCACACATGATAAATTTATAATTCACACCTCACTAGGCTACGTGAACTCGAGTAGGCCAACATACAACTATTGTTTCTCCACCTGTAAACTTTTGCTAGTGGCCTGTTGTTTGGAACCTGGATATTGGCGACTACCCATCTCGGTCACTCTTTTTTCCTCATTCTTTTTCAGAATGCAGATCTTCATTCCCTGTTCACAGATCTTGAGTGTCTCGCTCTGATGGTAGCTTGTCTATCTCACGATTTGGATCATCGTGGTACAGACAATCAATTCCAAGTCAAGACAATGTCCCCACTGGTCCAACTGTATTCGACTTCTGTACTGGAACATCATCACTTCAACCAGTGCATGATGCTTCTATCACGGAAGGTGGGTAAATTTCATATGGACATTTTAATCTTAGTTTCCTTTTCCGTGCAGATCATTTCACCAGCACACAGCTGCGTTTGCCCCGTTGAGAGACCATACACTAGGCTCCGTTGTTTGTGATATTAACGTTCCTCCCTTGTTTCCGTACTAATCGCAATTGACCGCATGTGGTTTGGCTTGTGTGCGAACAAGCATCTACCTCGCTCCGTAGACAGCGAGTCATGAAACAGCATCAGTAGTGCTTGCTCCCTGCTCCACTGGTTAGGAACAACCGAACCTTGTTAGGGGGTTATCTCTCATACGTACTGGATGTTTGTTTACAATGTAGGGACCGATTGTCGTTGATTTAACACCATGCTAGTTCTCTTCACGCACACCCGCCATTGTGCTGTAATAGCTTAGAGGATTGAATGTGTGCATCTGCGGAATCCTCTCTTTTTGAACCGAGGGGGACACAACTCTGCTGACTGTCAGTATTAGGGTGGGTGCCGAAATTCCATGAGGGACTCAGTAACACACACGCACAAATATTTCGAAGATTTGGTGTGTTAGAGGTATTTCCTTTATATGTATACGTTTTGAAGTCCGTGTCGTTGTAGGTGCGCTGAGCTCGTTGCAGGTTTGCAAGCCGACTTTTCACCATCGAGTAATCACGAATGACCACGTGTTCAACAGTCGTTAATCGTAAGTGTGGTCCATTTTGTACCCATCTACAGAACTTATTTGGGTTGAATTATTCTTTATTATTATTGCAGCAAATAATCGGGCATGCGTCTTTCGTTAGAGGTTGAGTTGTCTGTTGATCATGGTGGATATCCAGAACCATTTGTTCACTCAGAATCTGGAGGAGTCTGGGAAGGTCAGATGGATGTTCCCATAGAGAATGCCGTTATAACAAGCAGAAGGAACAACCGACTGTGCACTGGAATGTGATTGAGGTACTTTGGAGAAGGATAGACCGAATGACCTTGCTGAAAATCTTGAGCTCGATAGAGGGCCAGTTTGAAATGGTGACTTTGACAATCTATTTGGAACGCATCTTATTCCCGGGCGTTTTTTCTGAACACGTGCGTATTCTGGCTACTACAGGGAAGGTCCAAACTTTTGCGAGGTTTATTCGTTTTCACACATTCACTTAGAACACTCTGTTACCGTACACAGTTGCGAAACCCAACGTTGAGTATAAGTCTCGCAGCAGGAGTGGTAATTCACTTTTTGAGTTCGCTCCAAGTATTGTATAAGACCAACTCATGTTACACACCACAAACTTAAAATCAGGCCGCCATACATATGACTTATGATCGTGACCTGTACGATAAAGTCAAACGCTTCCCCCTGCTTTCGCAATAGGTTGTCTTGACGACCAGTGGGAAAAATTGACAAAATCTGTATTTGGCGAACCTCTTCACGCTACGCAATCGTTTCCCAAGAGAATCAAGATAACACTAAAGACTTGATACTCTCGTGTTTGGTTTGGACGTACGTGCACAGCCATGACAGTCCTTCAATGGCATTCGTTGTCTGTCAATAGCATGTACCCTAATCTACAGTTCGCAGTAAAAGCTCCGAATATGGAGCACGCATTCCGATCCCGCGTCTAGTCACTTTATCATCGAAACCTATCTTTTTTTGAAATCTCAAAATCGACCCATCGTCATTGTGCCCCTGTTCTGAACACATCTGCCAAAAGATGCTCAGTGACATGGTGCTTACTGAAAACTCCACTAGCACGTCGCGATTCGATTCATGTATCCAATCTGTCCATTGTGAAGTGAAACATAGGACATGCGATGTAATATTTGACGATCGTTTGCACTGTTCTGTCCAGGAAGGAAAACACGGCATTCAGCACACAACGTGCTTCTTTTCTGCTGTGGCTTCTAATAATGTGATTCTTACTGGCCATTTCTGACTGCAAAATGTGGACTGTGTACCTCGAGGTCACGGTATGGCCTGTGTTCCCCTCCTTATGGTCCCTTGGGAGCCTAGTTATCTGCTGATTTCAGGAGCATTTGGTGATTCTGTTAGTGGTACTGCCGTTAGTTTCTCCACATTCTGCTCTGTCAACTACAGGCTGATTCAGCGACTTTCAGATGTCACCTTGACATCAAGTCAGAGACCCGTAGATATTTCGGCGTAGTGTTACGGATAAGGGCTAATTCGAACATGGGCTACCATGAACGATTGTACTTTAGTAAAATTGGGAACTAGGCACCACGCGAATACCGTGCAGCGCGCTTACACCGCCCCAGCAACCAAATCAGCTATATCAGGAGCCGATTCATACCAATCACGTCAAGGAAAATAGTTCTACGGAAGCTCAGTTTGCATGCCATCGCATTCCCTACGTCTCACCGGTAGGCGCGTAGACGACACCGTGTCAGAACTCCAAGAGGCCGTTTGTACCGAACCGCATAGGCTATTCATTTCCGCGCACAGTGAGCTATGCGGTTTAACGATGGTTGCCTGTTCTGTTTGAACCGCAGTATGTGATATGTCAGTGTGTTGGGTTCACTTTGTGTCAAGTGACACTCATGCCTCATCACAGTTCACCCATATACCAGTCAAATTATTGTCGATAAAGGACGCCAGCGCTAAGGCTTCGATGAACTGACTTGCGGTCAAAATAGATCGCACGGCCATTTGTTCACCAGTTTCGCGACAGGATGACATAGTTGTGTCATCTTTTGCCATACGACTTGAACATACTAGGCTACACATTCTCTAAAAGGCCACTGGATACCTCGGACAGAGCAAAGTTCTCATCACGCAAGAACGTGGCTGCAATCATTTTTTGACCGCACGGTTGTTCCGTCATGAAAGCAAATGTTTAGGACTCCGTAACATTGTATTTGTCATTTCCAAATCTACTATAGATTGAAGCTTTTACTCGTCTCCTTGGTACAGCTTCTTGTTTCACTGTTTTATCCTCGAAACAGTTTCCTGTATGTTGTTATTGTCTTTGCAACACGGCCTATTGGCTGTTCAGTTCAGAGATTGTTCCGTGTCAGTTCACCCGATAGAATTGCTAGTATTCTGCCCATCCCAAATTTAGGTTGACTCTGTTTATTTGATACCGGGTTCGCCTCATTGTGTATAGTCTTGGGACGCGTACTGTATCATTGTTCCTTTGAACGCTACAAGGTATACGAACAGAGGGATTTACAAATAGCTAGGACAAACTATTCGGTTCCATTCTACACTGTGGGCCAAAAAGTGCATACGCCGTTCACCGCCATTTTCCATGTGAAAGTTATTTGCGTGTCCGTTCAGTGATTTCAACATTGCCTTCACGGGTGCCTTCTTCGACCTTGTCGCGCCCCGCTTCTCGTACTTTCAAATTACGAACCTTGAGCAATAGAAGGTTATATCCATCATCGGTCGTTCTAAACTAATATACCATGTAGCAACCCCAGAAATCGACCAAGAAAAAACATTCAGTTCGCTTCCGGAAACCTTCATTAATCAAAATCACCGCGTTTTTATTAGTGTACGGGCATTCCTACTGGACGCCGCTGCGCATTCGCCTGATTGTAGGAAGTTCAATTTCTGATTGGTCTTTTGTAACTTGTGTCAGGCGTTCGTTGTTTGGTTGCAACGCCTCGGTTGTTTGTCTTGATGGCGGACTAAAATAAATGCGTCTTGCTAGTCGGATAATTTATCTTTGCTTTTGCCATCAAGTGTACATTATGAAGTAATCAGAGGATTGGCTTTCAGGCTTAGAGTCATATTGGGGCAGGTTTTAGCTAATCCTCTTGTAGGCTGTGTATCGTTTCCTACTCCGAGACGCCGCGTCTTATCTGCAGTCAGGATCTTGTCGTAGCCAAGTGCCTATGAGATGCGCTGTAAAGCACGATATGTTCGCTTCCGTGGCTGAGTATGAAAACCAACTTCCTTGTAGTAAAGATTGCATTCAATCATCCGGGGATCTTGACTTTCTTCGCTGCTAAATCGTCTTGGTTACCCTGGTCAAAGTTAATCATCTTCCGAGGTCTTACTCTTCCAGGTTATCTTCCGTGAACTGAAGCCATCTATGGTCATCGACTTGTTATCTATGACAGATGTATACTTAAAGCAATTAGTTCTTATCAGCTTGTTTCGACAACGGTTCGAACGCTTTACACAGCATAATATGATGCGACTTCCATTCCTGATTTTGCTTTGCTGCGATACGGCCCGAGTTTCCGACGGGATTTAGCTAAGTAATCAATTAAGATAGTATTCCTACTAGAAACCTGCACCTCACTGCACAGCGTTGCCGAACAATATCTGTACATTTTTGAGCGATCGTCTAGGTTTATCCAGAGCTCAAAGGAAACAAACACGAAATCGTTTTGAAGACGTGCTATTTCATATCCTGAGCAGTAGTAGTTGGTTGTAGGTGACTTTGGAGTGTTGTGGAAGTCGTGTTCACATCAGCCTCATTTGAACAGTCCCCCCTAGAGTACTAGCGCGTTTCTTCTAGTTGATTCACACCAAAACTGGGAAGCAATCGAATCCAGTGCCGTTCATCTCAGCTGTGCCGGCAATGGAGTTCTAGACATCCGACTGCGGCGTGACCATGTTACAATTACACTAAAAAGGCATGTTGAACGTAGGTGAACTATTACGTATGAAAAGCTGAGCGTGTTTGCGCTTTATTGAACAAATGCGCTAGGACAGAAGGAGCGCTATTCCGACAAGAGTGACGTGAATACAAATCCTACAGTATTCCATGAACATACATAATCCGGATCCTTCAGTTCATCAATCAATTAATCAGTCAATGTTCCTTCAGAATTTAGTCGTCTGTGGAGTTACCTGGCAATTATTTGGCATGTAGTCATTTGGTCAATAAAACTTGGCAGTTACTAAGTCTTCGTGCGGGCCGTTGAGAAAATCAATCACTTCGGTGTAAACGCAATCGCGTTTACACACTTCAGATCCATGCATCTTACGCTACCAGGGTATTGTGAACGGGCCTCGCAGGCATGTCTAAGTGGGTTGGTGAGCACCTGGCAGGCCATAATGACTTTTGTCTGAGAAGCAAATGAACTTTGGGTTAAAAACAAGGGATCATCTGAAGTAATGTTTTTTCTGAGTTGGTAAACGGTTAGAACCAATTTCTAAGTCGAGCTTCCAGAAACGTTTGGCCGGTAGAACGTATATCGATTTTTCGGCAACCTTTCCCCGAAGTCCTTTCTCTCCTTGTTTCTCTTTTTTCTGATCAACTTCCTAGTGAAGTAACTTAAGTCTGTAGCGGAACCGTCTTACCAAACTGTTCACCTTCTAGCTTCTTGATCAACCTGGCCGCATCAAGGTCTTTGTGTTTTTTGCGTTCTGGTTTATCGAAAGTGTAACCTGAACAATCTGATTTTAGCTGTTACTGCCAGTTTATCATCAGCTCACAAGTGTACCAATGACCGTATTTCCAGTTAGCTGATTTTTTGTGATCGAACCGTTTGGAGTGAAATTTTGACATGTCATATGCATCATGAGAATATCTTGTCTCAAAACTCAGAAGTTTTATAAAGATCATCCTTGTCTATTGTCCATGATAAGAATTCCCGTATACCTGTTTTTTAACATTTAATCGATCTTGTAACAAATCTCTCCTGTCGCGACCTGTTTCTGGTTGTGAATATGTTATTGTTGAGCATCCCTGCATCGATCTAAACCGGAATCCTCTGCTGTAGTCACTGCACCTAATCATCGAACTCTGTGGTACTAGTTCTGTGTGCCTTTAGTGATTATGGGATCTGAGACACGAATCGTTTTCTGTCTTCTTCAGACCGGTTAATGGAGAACCATTCCACCCGAAAGCTACGAATAAGTCTAATGGGTTAGGATATTCATGGTTAAACAAAGTGCTCCCGAAGCAGCCGATCTTAAACCCCACACAATGAAATGTGACCTGCAAAAATTCAGCACTAAGTTGTTGCATCAAACAAGCGGTTTTTGCGCTTTGATGTATATCGTAAAGCCCCTCCTTAAGCTGTGTGTTGCCATTGATCTGATCGGCCCCGTAAGAAGATGACCTACCAGTGTAATGGTGATACTACTAATGGGGGAGGCATGCGAGTAGTATATTTCCCTCTTGTAAATTCGCTTTTTGTCCCTTGTAAAGAGAGATCTATTGCGGTATTTGTGGAGTCGCTTTGTATCGTTTGCTTGAATTTGAGCAATTGTCAACGAATATCCAACAAAATGCTGGAAGACGCGTTCAAGACAAGATGGATGTTCAGTTTTTGTAAATAAGATGAATATGAGATTTTAGCTTTTCTGTCTAATAGTCTGTAACTGATGAGTTGGCATTTTCTAATGAATAACTCCGCAGCGAAGGCCTTCTTCGTTTCACCAGTATGTCGCAGCAGTACGGAGACCCACGAGCTAAACCTGGTACACAAGAGTAGACACTTTGCTGCACGGAATATTTCCATACCACTCTTCTCTCAGGAGTCCTGCCTACCAGGGAGATACAGCAACTGTCGTTCACTTCTGGTAGCTCTGCGAATAGGCATCAGAAAAATCCAAAATCCCGCATTCACCTCACGTACTTCATGACATGATGGACATACCTCTAATAGTTTTCTCTATTGATTTTCCTTCTTCAAGCCCATTGTGAATATACTTGCCTTCGATGTTAGTCCTTCCACTCTCAAGGAATCCTCTGTTTTCACACGTTGTGGAATATTTCAGCTTCCTTCGCGTGTATTAGCTCTTCTGCACATGCACAAGGAAAGGCTTCTAGCCTTGAGATCCTGTGACTTTGAGGGTTGTTATAGCCGGTCATTCGGTCAGCCACATAAAGTAATTATGCTGAATTAAGGCATGAGAAACGGTTTTGTGAGTGAGCAGTGAGACGTTGAGGTTCATTCAAAACCATTTATTCTTATAAGAAAAGCTTCTTGGGAATAGAGTAGCGTATCGGATTTATGTCAGCGATATTTAAGGATAAGATGTCACATACTTCATGCTGATTCTCAACACTACTCACAGTTCAGGTTTTTATAAATGGTTACGACCGCATATCTTCATATGGGGAATTCGATCAAAAATTTCTTCACATAATGTTCCCTACTCGCTCATGATAGTCCAGTCGATTTCTTTTATTGCTGATAAGAAACAATTGAAGCATTGAAAGTCAGGTGGTCCTTGCCACGCTCCATCGTGTCAGTGTTGAATTCAGTTTGGCTTTCTGTGAACTGTTGCGTGGTTGAAAATCTCCCATCATTTATCAGCTCTGTCCTTCAGAAAAATCCCCAAGTAACTTTCCTTTACTATCCCATATCCAGGGTAACGACTTTTTATCCGTGCTCAACAAATCAGATTACAATTACCTAGTCAGTTTGATCAAGGAACACATATTGGCAACCGATTTATCACGCCACTTTGCCCGTTTACCGGACTTCAATCGCACCTTGGAGCAGCGGGAGCAGTCCGCCGTCGGCCCCAAATTCTCTTCTTCCATGGAGCCATGGCTGAGCAACCCTGAGGAGCGACTCCTCTTGAGTGACATGCTTATGACTTCGTGTGACATATCCGCCATCACGAAACCTTGGCCGGTGCAAAAAATTGTAAGTTGTCTATTAACCTACCGTCCGTTTTCACACTTGCGGTTACCTGTTTCTTCCCAAACTCATGCGGCTCCTACTCGATAGATTATGGTTCTCACATTTATTTGCACTGTAAATGTTTCATATATCTCACCTGTCACTACATACCAAGTTCTGTTGGTCTTTTGTTTTCCACGTGTATCCGGCGTATGTTGAATATATACCTTCCTAAAGTCACTGTGTCGTTGACTTCAAACGTTCTTGCCTATTTCACTGTGTTGTCTTCACACAACCGACGTGATTGTGATGGAAATTACATCGTGGCAGTCGGGTTAGTGGCACTATTAATTCGAGCAAAACAACTGTCTACAAATTAGATTAGGTTAATATTTCGTTTGTTCCCCATGGACACCCGTTTTTTTAGGCAACACACTTCAAACCATAGTCTAACCACCTTGCACCTAACCACAATCTGCGAGTAGATGCCTAAAGAATACAAGTTTTCCAGTACCTAGCACCGAAATGCTTGATCGATGCGAGTGAGCCTCCTGCGAATAAAGCGTTAGTGATTCGCAGACAGCCCATGTAACTGCAGAATCCAATCATGGTGCAGTAGCGAAGGAAATTCAAGCTCTTCTGTTGGTGGTCATGGAATATCGACAACTTAACGTTGTTTTTCTTAAGTTGTTAGAGATATTCCTTTTTTTAGGGAGATGAGATTGCATTCATACAAACATTTATGTGTAATCTTCAGTTTGCACCAGGTCTTTCATAGCACTTCGCAGGCATTGAATGGATTTCGAAGTTTCGTACATGATTTGATCTTGCCAATGAATAGCATAGCAACGTCATACAACCGATTCCTTCTCGCTTTATTCATCTCATAAACCACTAGGGAGATCCAAATCCGCAACGCACCGGTTGGTTCGCTATTTGGTTACGCGTGGCTGATAGTTTGATTAACTCCCAGGTACATAACGGAGAGCTCCACTTTCCCTCAGTCACGTATTTACATGGTATGATGAAAGTAGATTGGCTGGGTGACCAGTTGGTGGGTGGAACATTCATCACCTTGTTTTGAGCTCCCCTTCCTGCGCGAAATGCTCATGTTTCCCGGCTGTTGGCCAGTAATCAGAGCAAGGCTGTGTTTGGAATCAAAAGTAACCGCGATTCGCAAATTTTTGGTTTCCAAAGCCAATATTGTGACGCGTTTTTCTTTTTTTCCCTCAAAAAAGTCCTTTTTATTATTGTGACACTGGTCGAATATAAGCAGGAGTTTTCGAATTCACATATAGACTGATGTATGAGAACCCACGAATCACACCCAAACCTTCCGAATGGCTGAAAATCCTCTTTGCAAAATTGTACCTTCCGTTGTGTTTAAGGTCACTTTCGACCCGAGAGTGGAAATCCCACTGTTGAGATCCGGTTCACGTCACATTCTCAGCTATTCGGGGCGATGTCGGTTGATAATTATAGGCTTAGAATACCATTCTGTAGTCAAAAATATCCAAAATTGATCTGTTTGGCCACCACACAGTTCCAGGCCCCTCCTCCTAACGCGTCATTTTTCTGTGTAAATACCCCCGTCTGTGTTTTCTGCATATTCCTCTTGGTGTTTACGTTGTTACAGTTTGTGGTGGGATCATCCTGCCGTTTATCTCAGCTCCTGTGCTTCTGATTGAAAGATACTTTACCTACTTAGCTACCAGCTTAGTTGCTTGCGTACTTTCTATGGGCATTGCAATTACTAGTCTGCGGCCCGAAGGATGTGACCTTTCAAATTCCTGGTTGGTGGTCGAAGAGAGATTCCGTAGTGAGGTGAAGTATTCAGTACATCTCTTCAGCTTTTTCTCTCTATCTTGACTAGTTTTCCGTGGGCGTATCAGAGATTATTTTGCTTACTAAGCCGTTGACCCTTACCGTTGGGAGATATATGTGGTACACTTCACTAAATAATCCGGCATGTGAGTACCCCGCCAGCAATAGGCTTCTCGTCATTCGGTCCTTACAGGACCCATCCGAGTTTACGGAACGTATTGTAAGGTTTGTAGTAGACACTGAACCAGTATCAGCTATGAATACTGTGTTCCAATTCTTTTCATATAAAGAGATATGTTTCCTTGGGGCGACGAGATAATTTGTGGGCAAAGACGCAGCGAAGGAGCATAAGCTGAATAGACCTTTAGGCCATGCAACACATCCCTCAATGCAAGGACATAGGTTTATGGGAACAAAACGTGAAGTGTGCCTGAAATATCTTGATTTTTTCTCAGATCAGAATAGACCGGAAACATCGTAGTAGTTGACAAGTTTTAAACACCCGAGTGATCCAAAACAGAACATAATTAATTTGTAGGCAAAGACGCAGCGAAGGAGCATAAGCTGAATAGACCTTTAGGCCATGCAACACATCCCTCAATGCAAGGACATAGGTTTATGGGAACAAAACGTGAAGTGTGCCTGAAATATCTTGATTTTTTCTCAGATCAGAATAGACCGGAAACATCGTAGTAGTTGACAAGTTTTAAACACCCGAGTGATCCAAAACAGAACAATCAACGGGATTTCTAACATCCTGGCCGGCAGAATGCACTCCAAGCAAAACAGGCTCACGGGTTTCTCCTACTATTGTTTTTCCTCTCTAACCAACCAGATGATCTGAAAACCTCAGGGCTCATTATTCATGAATAAGACTTGGATGCAACCGCACTTAGCTTTTTACCCCTCCCCTTGTTGCAATCGGCAGTCTAATACATGAATGCTCAATCAACGCAGCTTAACATTTTCTGATCAACAAAGTGCTACATTTCTATTCCCCACATTTTTTCACACTTCTCTGTTCTTTTAATCTAGACGGCTGAATTGGTCTCGTCAGAATTTTTTGAACAAGGCGATTTGGAAAAGGACAAACTTCGCAGTCAACCTCGAGTTAGTTCATACCTTCCACTCTCAGAATTTTTCACCACAGACCAGTCGATATTTCAAATGCAAGGCAAAGTTTTGGCCACAGTGGCACGGTTTCTCTTAGTCGTGGTTTAACGACCTAGAACGAGACTGTGGTTGACGGTTGTCTTATTGAAAGAAGAAGGTTGGTATTAGTACTGTGCAATCGGTGTTTTTTTTTATCTGAAAGTTTGGCTAATCATCTCCGTGTTTACTGAACTGGAAATCTGAGGAGATAGTCCGTGAAACTCTGCTACATTTTGAAACCTGCTTAAGTAACCCTGTTCACAAAAATATCGTCCCTCTTAGTGCCAAGTCCTGTGGAAAAGCTAACAATGTTGACAGGATCGCTAAATGTGACGATAAAACAACTAAATCGCTCAGCATCACCAGGAAGTACACAAAGGGGACAATGAAATTAAGTTATCAGCACGATGATGAAAGTCTCTGATATGGACAGTAATTTTTGTTGGGTGAAACGTATAGGTTTTCTGAAGTGAACGTATTGGTAATCACTCAAGAACCGAAGTCCAACCCTGAAGATTTGGTGGTTCGCGGTGAAAAGCGAGCTGGAAGAACAACACCATTTTAATTTTACTTGAATTGTTGCCTTTTCATTCCTGCGGTTCGGACCCAGGGCTACGTGGGCGAACCCTCAAGAGGAGCAAAATTCGTAAGGCGTAAGTATTATTATCCGATTTCCAGCATGACCTTTTACAGAATTGGTGATGTAACTGTTTAGGGGTTTGTTTCTGACAAAATCCTGTTTTTCTGTTCACCTACCTAACTCTTTTGATACCTTCTCCACCGCTTCACTCGGTAGCGTCACCCCGCTCATTTATGCTCAGGGAGGTGTGTTTATTTCGCATCATCAAGTCATAAGGGGTTGTCGACCTTGAAAGTCTCCGATGTAGCACCCGACCTTGAGCTACTTAAATTGGTATCGTGCAGTAACTACCTGCTCTCTCTGATGACCTTCTCGGAAAAATCTCTGTGTACTGCAACAGTGTAACAACTCGGGAAACACTATCACTCTGAATTACTTTTGCTCCCTTATCTGAGTGGGTCCTTACTTAGTGGGATTTAACTAGAACTTTGTTCAGTTGTGCATATTTTCGCACCATTCTAATATCCTCCTGTTTCGAGTTGTTTGCACACGAAAAGTATTGATAATTCATTAGTGTTGGCTTTCATAACATCTTCATAGTTTCGGTCAGTATACTCATTGTTACCTACTACTGTCAAGTTCACTATCGACGAATATCGTCACGTTCGTGGTTGGTAGCGAACAAACTTATACATCGTGACGATTAGTATGTCCTTCGGGTGCGGAATTTTAATTGAACTCTACTGGGACATTTCGATATTATTTCAAGTGCAGCTCAAAAAGATTCATGCAAACGTTTTCAGAGGAATCGCACTGTCAACGGTATGCTTCGTTGTTTCGTGAAAATGTGGTCAGTCCCAAGGTGGATGAAGCGTGCAATTGAATACCAAAGCGTTTTTGTCCTTCATATAAATGGTACTAAATCTAGATGATTAGGTATTTTTGCGTCCAAAGTCTCTGATTTACGCCCCCTCATTTAGAAAATATGATTATGCCAACAAAATGCGCTCGCCTTCGTTTCGTTTTTCGACTTTTGTGAAAAGACGTTCCGGTGTGATTCGTGACGTGTTTCGATAACCTTCATACGGCAGTGTGGCTCTGGACGTAATCCACTTTGTGTGTAAATTAGAGTCGGCGTTAGGTGACATGTAGCGCCGTGAATCTCACTCTACATTTTGGACACCCTTTGGGACATCATCAAATTTCTCTTGTGACATTATGAAATCTTACAAAATGACCTTGTGGATTTTATCATCACAGAATACGCCATGACATCGTACCGTCGAAAAAAATATTGCGCTGTTCCGTCTATTGTATGAAGGTGTGAACAGTCCCTTCTGCTTGACCCTGAAAAGGGAAATGCGCTGAAGCGTGAACATCCCACAATGAAGGCGTGCGTTTTAAATTCACCGCAGACTTCCGTATTCCTCCGTCTAGGTTCAGTTCAGCTCTCGTGAACTTTATGATAAATTATTTTAGTTTTAGGACAGCCCAAAGCTAATGAATTTGGATTTCTGGTTTTATAAATGTTCCAGTACTTTCCACCTTTGCAGTCCAATCATAGGACAGTCTGTCATTCGTTTCTACTTCTGTGTTCCAGGAGCTCATGGATCGGAGTCACATGCACGAATTGCCTCGCTTACAAGTCGAGTTTATCGATTTTGTCTGTACTCCGATCTACAAGGTTTGTTACTTTTTTTTACGTTTCTAAATTCATACCATAACTAACTGATGATATCCCACATAGCTGTTTTGTCAAGTCTGACTTCGCGAATCCACCGACGCACGACTGACGATCTTCATCTTCCTTACGTCAACAAACTGATGGGTTCGACCTTTTGCTGTTTTTTTCAAACATTTTTCGCAGACTGGCTTCATGCACAATCTCTTCTTCATAACACATTCCTTGTCGAACGCACCACACGTGCACCACATGATGCACGTGGTGTAGTTGATTTGGGTAGGTTTAATGACGCACTTACGGAAACTTGGCGTTTGTTTATTTTCGATTTCATCTTGTTCGTTATTCGTACTTTCTCCAATTCGAACCAGTCGCAGACAGGTCGATTATCATCTTGCAACGCCCTGATTCCATGCCGGTCACACCCTCGTGTAAACGCCCTCTCGCGACAGCGCCTCATGTATAATTTTTCCTTCACTGCATTATTGATATATCATGCGTGTCCGTGTCTTTTCTACAGCTTTAAAGAAATAGGAGTAGAAATACACTCGTTTGCAAATCAATTTGGTTTTCACGGGAAACTCAATTGAATCTCTCGTTTATGATGTCTTGAAGACAATGCAATTTGGGCTCAAGTAGATCATAAGGTTGACGGAAACTCGGGGACTGCGCCTACCTAATGAGCCCCAAGAAGGGCGAAACCGGTCGTGGGCTGTCAGAGTTTTCAGCAACCTTGTGAGTAGTTTCCTTTATGAAAATATACTGCGATATCTCGAATATCGTGCCAACTGAATCATGGGGCGGCCTGTGTGCAGCACATTCAGTTGTAGAATATCATAAACTAGCGATTCAGTTGAGCATCTCGCGAAAACCAAACTGACTTGCAAATGAGCGTATTACTCGAGAACTAGCAGTTTTCTTATTTATCATAACACGATAAGTTACCACGGACAAAAAAAAGTGAGAAAAAAGTAAGTTACTGTGAACTGGAAGAAGTACTGAATCGCTTAGAATGGCCTCGTCTACCTTTAACGGTACTGTCTCCGAATTCCGTCGCAAAATTTTTGGGACGTATACTGCAGCGTTCGTATCTAGGACTAAATTATTGACGGGATTGAGTCAGGTTCAGTCAAGAATTGTTGACTAATGGGATGGGCCAGCTTATCAACAACTCGTATAGCTAAATCGCTAAATTCATAGTCAACTCATGAATCTTTGAATTCACAGACAACTATAAATGGGGATCAACGGCGTTGAGGTTTTTTGTTGTGCAGTAAATCGATCTTTCGGTAAGCCAGAAAATCGTCTTTTATTCTGGGGGTATGTCCCATGATCAGGAACCTATGATTGGAAGGGATTCCACGTCCACATGTCTCAATGGAGGCTTTTCCTCTTGTGAAGTTTCCTTGAGATAAGGTACTCTAATACAATGTATTATGTATGTGTATGGTGTATATCATGTATAAAAACCTATATATTATAGTCAGGATAAACCTAATATTTCTACGTGGGGGATCAAGCTTACTCAGTGCTAGGAAACTCATCAATGGTGATACGATTCAGCTTCTTAGAAAAACATGAACTCGATTTGGCCAATTTTTTAAACTCTCTTCGTTTCAAAAAGTTCCAAGGCAGTTTTATCCCGTTTTCGACATTTGCATGTGAAGATTTAGTAAAAGATAACGATACTTGTTTCCGTTTTGTTGTGCAAACTTTGTTGCAGTCTGTCTGCTTCACATGTCATTAGGTTTTCCACCTGCTCGTCAAAATAATATGGGTTTCCTGTGTTTTTGCTCATTTGTCTGGTTTTAATTTTCGGGATAAGTGTTGCTTTTTAGTGGGTGTGGCATTCAGTAAGTGTTTTCTACTACGATGTTCCAATTTTACTTTGTGGAGAAGGCTAGTAAGGTTGATTTTATTCTCAAACCATGTGTGTTCGTCGGTCTGCTTAATCTTTCTCAAGTAAATAGATTTTTCGATTATCAGGTGACCGAACGGTTGTCTGGCGCTGGTGTTTGTTGAATATGTTTCCTCTCCTCTGGGCTGACTACTAGTCACGCTCAATGATTTTCAGATGGCTGGCCGGTCACGTTCCTCTTGCGATCTGTTGTGTGTGCCTTCGTTATTGGTTTACCATCCCGAGCCCGATTTGATGTTTGGCTTCTTTGCTGACTGAGCTGTTGTTCTGAGATAGCGTTCTGCTAGTTTACTGCAAAAGTAATGAATTGTTTTATTGATTGCGCTTTACTGGCTGTTACGCTCAAGCGATGCCGCCCGGACTAAACTGTATACACGAGGGTGTATGTGTGTAATCGACATTCAGTCAAAAATTACGATTTTCTTGTTCAAGGCCCAACCCCTGGTATCGATCATCTATCCACCTATGACTGGCATCCCAGCCAATTGCTGGGTTGCTGCGTTGTATTCCGCAGATAGGTATGTTTGGTACATGTTCGTTCTTCTAGCCTTTGCCGAAATTCTGTCGATGACAAACCAAAGCCTTGTGATTGGATGCCATTGCGTTGTGATCGCAATCCAGAGTAGTAAATTCTACCATGCAGAATAAACCTTAACTGGCTTCAGTAGCGTTATTTCACTTCGTAATATCGTCTCTTAGGGAAAGCTGATTCCATTCCAAGGATTTGGCGAACCGCTGCAATCGGCGTAGAGCACTCTGGGGCAAACTCTCAGCACACCATTAGACAGTCTGGATTTATGTCTAGCCATCCGACATTTAGTCTTACTATTATTATTTTCAGCTGTTCCACGGTACCTCAATGTCCCCATGATAGCGGAAATCAGCATAGTTGGAGCTGTAGTGTTCAAGCTGATANGATTGGATGCCGTTGCGTTGTGATCGCAATCCAGAGTAGTAAATTCTACCATGCAGAATAAACCTTAACTGGCTTCAGTAGCGTTATTTCACTTCGTAATATCGTCTCTTAGGGAAAGATGATTCCATTCCAAGGATTTGGCGAACCGCTGCAATCGGCGTAGAGCACTCTGGGGCAAACTCTCAGCACACCATTAGACAGTCTGGATTTATGTCTAGCCATCCGACATTTAGTCTTACTATTATTATTTTCAGCTGTTCCACGGTACCTCAATGTCCCCATGATAGCGGAAATCAGCATAGTTGGAGCTGTAGTGTTCAAGCTGATATACTCTGTCGTTGATTCATTTCGGACCGCGTTTTTGATTTCAGCATTCGATATTCGTCGTATCCACCGTGAATCTGAGATGATCGACTCCTCGAATAAGCCCAGTTCGGGTGGCTGGGTTGTAAGCGCTTTCATAGGATACTGTATTTCTACGCGAAGGTTATCTGTGGATGCATACTTCCTTCCTTGATTGATCGTGTATTTCGGTATTCGAAGAAACCTACTATGTTCAGTAGCTCTCTGTTGACTACGGGCTATTTTAAAATCCATTCCAACTCTCATACTGATTTCTCTGGAATTTCTGTGTCCTTTAATCATTGCGCGAAAAGGCATATCGCACCATTCATTCACTAACTTGTCATTGACTTTCCGCATCATTGTCCATCGTTGATTACAGTGCACTTGAAGACCCAGGCAGACTGGGTTCGAGCATACACGCTTCAGAACAACATAGGATTGGACTTAGTACCGAGTGAACCTACGTTTTGACGGTACTTCATAGGAAATTATGGCTAACTTTCCACTTTTTCTGTGACATTTTGACGAAACTCAGGGGCTTTGATCTTTGTAGCGTGAAGTATGGTAGTGAGCACATCTATTCTTAACCCCTTGTCTTCTTCGCTCACTTGGCTATATGAACTTCAACGCGGAACTGTGCGTCACTGTCATGTGTCTATACGTCGACTTTTAGCCAGGCATTCCAATCAACCGGGTGGCGCTCGTGGTTTTTGCTTCACCCTCCACACATTCCGTGAGCCTGCCGTGTCATAAAATTAGGAGGTTAAATCGACCCCACAATAGCACTGCGGGAGTGGAGCAGATGGACTGTAAGATAACGAAATAAACTACCGTGATGGAATAGGTACCACGATGACAGGCGCGCAATGGAATAGTTGGTTTAACGGAATGTAATCTGGTGAGATGGCCCAAGTGGTTAGAGCGCGAATTTACTGACTGGAAGGTCCGTGGTTCGAACCCGATCTCTGCCTCTCGACTTCCCCTGTCCAGGCTTGGGCAACCTGGCAGTATCTCAGCCGTCGTGCTTCCTTCGAGTGGCATGGCACTTAGGCACCGAACGGGTGCTACAGCTGGATGATTTTATTTTTATGTAATCTGGCTTGGAGTTTCATTACGCGGATGGCAACAAGATACCGGGAGAAATTTAGACTTAGGCGACTTAAGATGTGATTGACGTTACAAGGACTGTCGAAATAAGCATAACTCACTGGGAACTCAGCTTCTCTTAGGTAGCCGATAGGTTTTCAGCCAACTAAACCTTGCAAAGTTATCAGAGACTATGGGCATCTTCTACGTAACCCAGAAGTGTGAGTTCCGTTATCTTGTATCCCTGCCCATCTCAACCACCAGTATCTAGTACGTTTGTACTGATGCGACCTTTCATTGGCGCTCAATTTCGCACAGCTCAGTCTCAAACGACTTCCCGGGATGTTGTTGACGCCATTTTTTCAAGGTTTGATTGAAAGCAACAATTGGATTCATGCTGGCCTGCGGATTTCAACGCCCTTGGTTTCCCTCCCATCTGAGGTTTTTGTTCAGCTTTATGGTCTTCAGTTATTGCCCAGCGATAATTTGGTGTGGGTTCGACAGTACTGATCTATCTATTCCAACTTCAGATATACGACAACAAATAGCCTGTTTGGAATAGGTCTACTCATTCTAGGTTAGAAGAGGTAAGACGAACTCACTCGAAGTGCATGCTTGTTGTTGACAAATCTCACGTACTTGCACAATGTTATTTATTCTGTGAGAGGACGCACACTCTCTAGACTATTCAGCCAGTGAATGTGATTTTGACAAGACCTTGGGGAAGTGGGCATTTCGCATACAGCACCATCCTGTTCCATGTAAACCCATGCTCCTTGGAGCAAACAACCGATCTAGTGGAGAGTTCAGTCATGGTATTCTCATTGAGTGTGCCCGTCAAAAGATGTACAGCCTGATCGCCGCCGATAACTGTTACTCCCATGGAACGTCTTTTCTTCCTTTGCTGCTTAGTACGACTGTCATTAGTTTACTCGCAGGAATGTTGGCATTTCTCCAATCATTAAAGCACGTCTAAAAGGGATTTTTTAGCGGTAGAGCTGGTACATTCTATTGCACTGATCCTGCTTTCTTCATACCCGTTTTAGTCGATCGTCAAAGTATCCAGTGCATTACAACCACTTCTGGATGGTTGTGTTAGGAATCGTGAATGTTGGTCCTACCTGGTGGAGGGCAGAGAAGTTCCAGAGTCCCTTTTTGGTCTTGAGGAAATGGACAGCACTAACGGATCGAGAGCAGTCCTGACCCGTTCTCAGGGGATATCTCCGGTGAGCACCCATATGGGATCCATCAATCCGAATCGCATTCGCCAAATTGTGAACGCAAAGCCTTTCGAATCCACTCCCACTGCAAGGCGCGAGTCCATTTTGGCTGCGACCACTGTTGGTGGTGACATTCCCGACTCACATTCATCTACACATAGCTTTCCACCCTCTGAAACCTAAGTCTTTCTTAGAGCGTTCCTCCCATTTCAGAGTTTTGTCTCAACTTTTCTACAATATAACGGAAACTGCACAACGTGGTAGTAACAAGACAATCAAGCGCCTGGTTTTTCTCTCTACTGAGCAGCTCAATCGTTTGGTCGTTCCAAAAATGACTTTATTGATTCTTGGTCCTACTGTGATTTCCTCCTCTTACTTCCCTGGTTTTTGTCAACTCGGAAGACATTTGTTCTATTACATTGTCATTCGCATTGCTTCTCATCGGTTGCAAATAATAGGAGAGTTAACGGTGGAATTCTTCTGGTGCTACTCAGAAGCAGAACTGAACTGACTAATCATCTGTTGTAAAGATATATAAAATGTGAAATTAGCCTGGAGGACATCCATGTATCGGTTCGGTTGTGATTAAACCAATAATAGTTTTTCGTTTCACAGAGATGAAAACCTTAGGGTAAGATGTAACATATAACAAGATTGTAACCGTATTTTTGCACTCAAAGACTCGCACGAATACATGTTAGACAAAATCCTGCAAACGAATGTAAGATTGGTATACCCAACCCTACCCTCCTTCCTGTTCAGATCATGCTACTTTTCACTCCTGTAACGCCATCACCAACAAGGCTAAGGATATACTTGTCAGTCTCAGGCCACGTAACTGCACTCCTGTAGATCTTGGTATTTTTGAGTCCTTGCAAGAAAAATGAGCAATTTTGTGTTTCCTCCTATACCCCTATTTCTGACACCCGTGGAGCCGTGCACTCGCTGCCCTAAAAGAATGTCGTAGTGCTACTAAACGTTTTACTTCACATGCCATCTGATCCAGATAACTACAACCCCACCTCTATTGCCCTTTTTTTATCCAGATCTTGGGAGTCAATTCCGGTCATACAACAATTAAGTGACCTGGTAAAATAACTTTGAATTTGGGGCCTGACATCGTCCTGGTGTCGTGTTGTCGTACTTATCACACGTGTGGTCATCCAGCGTGGACTCGCCAAGTGGAGTCGAGTTGACATGTTTCCATATCTCGTGGAACTTCAATCTGTCGTAGCACGAAGACCTGATTTTCAGACTACCAATGTAGGAACTGAATTCTGATTCTTTGATTTGGCTCGAAAACTTCCACAAAACCTCCCTTCTGTGGTGCCTTATTGGTGCCCCTAAGAGTCCAAAATATCCACGCAGATGTTCGCAAGGGATTCGGTTTTTTCACATACCATTCCCTTGGTTTATTAGCGATCACCATCGTTGCTTCTATACTTCTTCAAGTTATTCAGTCCTTCATTTTCTCTCCAAGTTCTGCCGCATTTCAACTTAGTGGTACTTGAGTTCGTGTCAACGGGACACTAAACGCTTACCTTACATGCATTCGTGTTTCGACAGCATTGAATGCATCTGCACTTCACTTGCACCCCATTCATTTTTTCCCTCCGTCTATCAGTTCCCCATTATTTGTTCCCAACCTTGATCCTAACTTTTTATGTAACCGAATTCTACTGGAAAATCGCTTTCGTTTCCAGCTCTCTCCTAGGTATAAGTCCCAGGTCCGTCGCATTCTAGAGCAATTCTGTTTCAAAAGGGGGCGATGTTCTTTTAACGAATCACTCACTGCTACTAAATTGGTTCAACGAGGCATGTTCCCCTCCCTGAACCGATTATCTGAGGGCTTATAGTTGGGATGTATCCTCCCCCGTATGTTATCGCTACTAGCTCAATAGATACTCCACTGGTTTTGCATCTTCCACTCCATCATCACGATCCTCCCGCTGAAGAGCACACCAATGTAGCCTGACCATCCATATCAGGTTTTAGTGCTAATTGTCGGGTAGAATCCTTTCCTTCCCTGTTTATTCTCACGACTAGTCAACGTTGGAATTCCCTTCCAATTTCCGTTTTGCCCTGTAACCTGAGCGCAACACCTCATGGTCATCCAAATTTGTACTTCATTCGTATGCCAATTTTCTCAACATTTCACGCTTGTTTCATGCTTTTGCCTGCCTGTTTACGAGGCCTCTGACTAGATGGTCAGGTGTTTGGGAAAATTCCAAGCTATGAAATTTCGGTAATGAGGAAATCAATGAAGATGATACGACCAAGTCCTTTTAATTCATTTAGGCATGCTTACAAGAACATGTAGCGAAACGATGTTGAACTGGCATTCGGGTAATCGAGATTGAAATTCAACGGTTGAGCAAGATCCCTGGTAAACGTTTGCTGAGTAACTGGTCACGATATTTAGACCACTTTGTGTTAGCAAGACTGTTTGTTCTCGCTGTAATAACATGAATCTTGATGAGTTTAACCATGAATTTAATAGGCATACGAAGGGACCATACATGTTTGCCGTCCACCACGTTCTCAACATCATGCGAGGCTTTAGATGAACGCTTAAACGTATGTGCACCGTTTTTTTTCATTTACATAGCTCAAGTAGTGCAACCATATTATCAGCGGATGTATAGCCAATCGGTTCAATTGGTTCTTCTGGCGGATGTCACAATAATATATACCAAACGAAGGACGTAAACGTTCAGGCCTGTCGTCTGTACGTCCACGCTGCTTAGGCTGCATGGAAGTGTGCAGCTGCATCAAACTGGTCATTTCTATTTTTCACTTCTTTTTGCGCTAACGAGCAGTGGTCTGCCTACTGACAGTCGCGCTCCGCACCGGTTGCTGAGACTCCTGTGGTTCATTCGCTTATTTTAGCACTGATTAGGAGCACCAAGGTTGAGTTTGATATTCCCGGATTAGGTAATATATTTCGCGGTGTTTTCGACGGGTTTCTGCTCCAGATGATTGGGCAGAAGCGTCCCGGGTCTCATTGAGTCGAGTTGAATCAAGTTTGTTTCGTCATTTTTGCTCTGATTACTCAGTGGGTCCTAGTCCCCGCTTGTAACCCAGACATGTCTTCCCTAGGTAGTATTCTTCTTTCTTTCCTTAACCTGAACACGTGATTTCTCCGTTCTGGATCCTCCTTGTCAATGCACATAACAGTCCCTTGGGCTGCAGTTGTTCCAAATATGAGCTATATGGAAGTCTATGAGTTCGACTTGTTTAACGACTCCCGTGATCATGTGAGCATTTCCATCTCGGAACCCCGACTTCTAATGTCTTGCCTTCAGTCATTTCTGGGAGGCATTAAGAAGACCCTTCTGTTAAGTTAACTCCTATCAATGTGAGCATTTCTGCCTGTTGCGTAATCATTGGCTGAAAACGTCATGGCATCACTCTATGCGGTAGATTCAGCTGGTCTCTGCACATCTGTTTTCAAGACAATTCGGCTTCTATCTTCCTCTGCTGCTGTACTGAAGTATTTATTCATTTATATTATCCCGTAAAATATTTCTAATCAGTTTAGCTGCTCATCCGTTTTTTCCCTTCACTCGGCGTAGCCTGTTGTGCGATTGCCACACCTCCACATACACAATCGGTTTCTGCGTGTGATCTCAGTCATTTTTATAATCCCTAAGCGTTTCAACACTGATCCAATTTTCGCACAATGAATTCTGATAAATGTCAGTAACTTCTGTACCTCGCTTTATCGCTAATTGTATCAGTGTCTCACACGCCTTTTCTGTTTTAAACTTCGAGAAACAAGCACTCAATTGTTTGCTGTTCAGTGATCCCCTACCTTGTCCGCTACCCGGCTAATCCTATTTCAGTGAGAGGTTGTCCCGGTAATGCCTCTTTACCTGAAATGCTTCAATTAATTAGATACAAAGGATGCTTTCCGTAACTGTACAATCACTTATCAAATCCACTATACATGCGCAAACTCTCTGGCAAAACGTCATCTCTCTGCCAGCTGGATTTGAACAAGAAAGTGTAGTTCTCATTCCATGGTCCAAATGGGTTGGAGAATCGAAATGAGTTCATGATAAACACATGCAACATCAGGTTGTGAATAAAGGTGTGTTTACAAGCTATCAGGATTGTGCAGTAATGTCGGTTTGGTTGAACCCGTGACGCATGGAGATGATAATGAATTAGAGGCTTCCCCCCATCGCATTGCACTAACAGTGCGCAGAGGCCTGGAGAAAGTCCGTGGAAAAACCCAAAATCAGCGGCTTTCTCAACGTTGAACTGAAGACTAACCTCTAAACAAGCCTCGACAATTGATATACACTTGATGTGGGTAATCTTCCCGTATGGCAGTGCAATAAAACTGAGAATGACAGTAGCACTGGGAGAATCACATCGTACGCGTGTTTCATGAATCGCGGTCTTATTCAGCATGTCAGGTCAAAAACGTTTATCTTCAACCACCATTTCTTCAAGGAGACCACCTCGCCTGAAAGTACAGCATCGAGAAGAGCATAAGTTCATCCGTTCGACCCACTGCGAATAACGATGAAAATTTGAAAATCACTACGCATCACACCTAGCGTTAGAAAAAAACGTTGGCCAATGTCATCCGCACCTAGATGAACGTGATTTTTTTTATCCATTTATTGTAGTAGTTGAAGTGATCAAGTAGATCACTATTTTCAGGCATCTGGAGTCTAATGTCCTACACAACAAGAAAGAATTTACCAACCATATCTTCAGCGGAAGAAATGACTACAAGTGCCTTTGACGAATAGCGAAATCCTGCTACACAAGGAAAATGGCCAATGGTAAAATCCGCGGGATTTATCACCATCTATCATCCCTATTTCAGCGGCGTCTTAAATGATTTTTGCCTGTGTTACGGAGGAACAATGCTGTGATATCTAAACGAAGTACTGATGCTAAACCCTGGTGGTGTAGTGCCCACAAAGCTACCGAAGACTCACCTAATTACATTCAAAGGTGATGTGGCTTTCACATTGTACATAGGGTCTGTCAATCCTTGACGGATTCTATCTGAAACCTCCGTGACACACCAAATATTACCATTTTGACAAGGCAGGGCAAGGCAATTCCTCGCTTGTTCCCAATCATGTCTCATTGAGCGGGGCCAACGTGAGAGGAACATTCGCAAACATGTGAATATATAACCACAGAAGAACCGTGAACCGGTACTCTTCAGGCGCAGTTGACCTATTGGCCACTGCTGTGTATTTTCAACTGTGCTGCATTAATTCATCGCACTGGCCAGGCAATTGGGTGATGGCTCAACTTTCCTGAAGCTCTTTCGTGGCCACAAGCGATTGCGTGTGAACTGTCCTGAAAGGCATTCTGTGTAAAAATTTCTCCTGGTGACCTGGAGAAAGGAACGGAGTGTGTCATTTGTGTACATCCTACGGGTTCTGTAGGCCTTACGAGGTTCTCTTTGCACTTCACATCCTCAGATCTATAAGATTTAGTTTACTGGCCAAGTCTTGCAGCTTTTTTAGACATCTCCATTTTAAGCAAACCCGTCTGGATTCTGTCCTATGTAACACCGACAAAATGCGGTTCAGCGTGAGTAGTTTCAAAAGAGATTTTACTACTTGGGTTGTGCTACAGGATTTATGAATAAGAAAATATCGGCACGTCAGTTATGAAATTGCAACTGCTCTGTAATTGGTTTTATGAACTTGTATTCCAGGTTTCTTTTAAAAGATATGACTAAGTGGGGACCTCAGAGTAACTTCACTGCTTTGTCGGTGGATCGAACCGTTGAATAGAAACTATGCACCGATATTAGAGGACAAAAATAATTATTTGAAATGAACAAGTGGAATGGGCAAAGCGGTGTTAGATTAACCGTACCATCAGGGTTAAATTCAATGGTCCCAATACACTGCGTAGATGCGGCTGATGCTTCTGAACAAAGTGAAGCAACCGTGTTGTGTCCGAAGGCGTTGATCATTTTTAGAGATGCGATGAACTCTCTTGTGTCCACTGAAGATGCAGAAATCAGGATCAGATTGATCCAGCCCAAGTTCCACCGGGTATCAACATTTCAAGGTTTGCTGATGTCCAATAAATTAAAGTGTGCGAAACTGTTCAACTTACGTGTTACACACCAGATTAATGCTTCGGTGGGATTGTGCGATTTGTTTAGGGCATACACAAGCAACCAAAAGACCGGCATGACTTTTCTTACCTTTATGGATTGACCTGGCAAGAAGCCTCGTTCATTGACTACCAGTTGATTGAGTTAAGCTTTGATCAGCTGGCCTATCCAACTCTCACAACTCTAAATTTACCCGCTTTCTAAGAAGTCAAAGTAGCGGGATCGTCCATCATTACCTGATCTAACGAAGTGAGGTTATATATTTTGAATTGCGTGAGTCTTTGTATATCGGATGTTAACCGGTGTCCTTAGTAGTACAAACTATCAGCTGTCAAGTTAATTAGATACATGCAGACCCAGTAAGGGAAGAAAGCCTCCTATCTTTGGGAAAAGACTACATATGCGCTAGAAACTTCAAGCCGAATTCCTAGACACTTGTCAGGTGATTATGAGGTAATCCAAGATGATCGATGACATTTACGACACGACCTTCCGTTCGATAATTAGTGGCCAGATTATTACGCAACAACTAAATAAACTAGATTTGACAGTTGACCATTTCTTTTATATTCGAGCCGGTAAATGCTTACAGTAGTGTGGCTATATCATGCAGTAAAATGAGGTACCTAGATGCGTATTTTATAGTGTAAAAATCGGTGAAAAGGTTTTCATATAGTCTGACCAAATCGTGTCTATAAATCAACATATCTACTTTTGGGATGCGGTATTTTTTGCTGACCTTCAGCACAAACCCATTCCGAGAAACGGACAAAACGAGTTCTCTACTAGCTCGGATCCACCGTGCAAAGAAAGCATTCACTCTTTTATGGTGAAATGCATATAAGGATTTTTGTACTTACGGATCAGCGATGTCGGACATTATGGCTTGCAAGTCAACCGCGCAATTTTCTTCAGTTTCACTTCAAAAATGCCAGTTGCCGAATTCGAATGGTGGCTTGGTAGAACCTGACTTGGTTTGAAGACTGATTCCCTTCTTGAACGACACAACACCTCCTATGCATTGATGAAAGGGCTTTTATCTCGGCCCTTGGCCATATTGTTGAGCTGAACAAAGTGATCGATTCGTCTAGAGGCTCAAGTTTTTTCCGATAATAGGATCCTTTAACATATTTGATTTTTCTGTGTCGGCTTGGTGAGTTGAATGTTCCTTTGTTTCGGGGGCGTTATTCTTCAGAACAACCATGGATACACTATACTGATACAGTCAGGCAGGGATCGGATGCTCTCACAGAGGGACAGTTTCACCGTGTAGTTGGTTGTTGTGCGATTATACACTCTGATGTACCCCAAGGGTTAACTGCTTCGCCAATCGATAGTGTACTTGGAAAGAGCCACAGTGTGGTACTCTGGAAATTATACTAGATTCCCTAGGCTTCTGGTAATGCGACCGTTTTTACACCTACGTAGTAGTAGAATCGCATTTCGCATCACAGCTTGATTGGAAAAAACTTTGTTGAATGTAGTAACAATGTTCGAGCGTCCGTTGTTAAATTAGTATCAGATCATTACAGTCTACACCAGGATGGAGATCATATTGGTTAAACAGGCTGGGTGAATGCGTTTCCGTTGCAGCATATACTGTCGGCGACGCTGCGTAAATCTTTGCACAATTTTATGGCAACCTATTGTTCGTTAGTTCTTGCAACATCTTGTGGCCCTTCTGATGAACGGTAACATAGTTCTGATTTCATCCTAGAGGCGACAATCGATGGGCAGGTTTTGGAAGTTCAGTGGTGTATGCTCCATAGATTCCCCTGCGCACCTAGGGGATTTCGCTTTTCATTGGTGTGATTCCCTTTTGACAGAGTGGTGCAGTCGATATGGGGATTCAAGATGTAGACAACTTGAAGAAGTTGGACTTGTGAGCTGCCTGTCTGTGCATTTAGCTGGACTGCTGCACACGTTGACGCTTATTTGGGATCCGAATTGGATTCCGGGCAGACAGTTCTAAATTTCAATGATAATTTCGTTTCACGCTTATAGCCAAACCCAAACTGAACAGCTGGGAATCACTGTATAGGGGAGTCATCTTTATTACATGTTACCAACAGTGATCTAACAAATATCCGGAAGGATATGAACCCTTGAGAATCGGATTGTCAGTCGAAAGGTGTCTGCTTTGGTCGCAAGCAGATGACAAACAGGATGAGCTTGGACAAAGTGTATTTTATCAGCTTTCAGTAATCAAGCATCACACGATCAGGTGTTCACAGAGTTTTTATTTTCTAAATTTCTCAATGTATTTCAGAAATGGCCGCATTTCATGATGTTTTTTCTGTAACTTAGCAGTCAACCAGAACAGTCTCTCAAGTCCTCCAAAGTTGAAAAAAAATTATGTCCCACATGCAGTAGCTGCTGTGATCCAGTCGGTCTGGTTCCAGTATTTCATGACTTGGATGACTTTAGTCCGTGGCTTCTCAGGGAGGTAGAGTTTAACGAGTGAAAAACGTGTGTTAAATTTATCCAGTATTTGTTCAAACGTAAGATACCCTAAAGCAGTAAAGGAAAAATTTTCCGACCGATATTCATTGACTTATTCTCAGAGCTTTCGTGTTTCGGCACTGTCGCTCGTCGAGCTGGAGCTCAGTTTTTTCTTCACGGCCTGACATGCATTTTTTCGGTCAAAGAATGCGAATATTTTACACATGGTTTGTTAGACGGACTGAAACTTACACACATTGTTATGCTCCATATGACTGATGAGGGCCACTCAAATCCATTCCATAGGTTATCAATCCTGCCAATACC